AATGAGAGTTTGCGTGAGCCAGAGGAGAGGAGCTGGTGGTGCGAGGAAGAGTTGGACATCAGACACTCACAGTGGCCCAGGTTGCCTCCACTGACCCCATCCACACACACAAGGCTTGTTATTTCACCCTAAAAAAAATCACCTTTATTCACAACAAATCAGTCCCAAACCCATGTGGTGGCTGGACAGCACATGTGCAACATCCTGATGTTTGTGTGTGTGGTTCAGAATTTGTCCTTAATGAACCATATTCCTCTTACCCAACCCAAACCTGTGTGAACACCTAGTTCAGCTCACCCAGGATGTTGCTGTTAAAACCTGAGAATCCCAAAGGAACAGTAAAACTTATCCTGAACGGTGTTTTCCCCCTCTTTTTCAGACAAATGGTGTTTTCCCCCTCTTTTTTAGACAACTCACCATTTTATTAACAGCAAACGAGAAAAACGACCAAACACCAAACTTTTTAACAGCTTAACGCTTAATTGACTTGCCTGTTAAATACCTGGTTACCTGTGCGGGCTGGGGAATGTGTTTACAGTCTCTGGGAGGGTTGTTTCCACCTGGAGCACGGGGAAGTGGTGAAACACCGAGCGATCCATCCGGAGGTGGAAATTCCTTTGCGCTGACTCCACGGCCGCCTGTCCCCCCCAGCCGGGCCCCAGCAGCACCAAGAAATGTCTGTTTGAATCTCTAATCAGAGAGCTTTGGGAAAGGCATTGTTCCCTCAGTCTTGGGAGCCACTGCTAGCAGCGAGTTAAATATTTATACACCCCTGGAAGGTTGGACAGGTTGGAGCCCCTCGTGGCGCTGCGTTTCTCCACGGGTTTGTTCATGTCAGGCTCTTGGGCAGATTTGGGATGGGGTTTGAAACACCCAGTTCCTGCAGATGTGGTGAGGAGGTGCTGGGGTCTTGGTCAGCTTTGGGACAGGGGCTTGAAACACCCAGATCCTACAGGTGTGGTGAGGAGTTGTTGGGGTCTTGGGCAGGGGTTTTAAACACCCATTTCTTGCAGATGTGGTGGTCTTGCTCAGCTTTGGGACAGGAGTTTTAAACACCCAGTTCCTGCAGGTGTGGTGAGGAGGTGTTGGGGTCTTGGTCAGCTTTGGGACAGGGGTTTTAAACACTCAGTTCTTGCAGGTGTGGTGGTCTTGGTCAGCTTTGGGATGGAGATTTGAAACACTCAGTTCCTACAGATGTGGAGAGGAGGTGTTGGGGTCTTGGGCAGGGGTTTTAAACACCCAGTTCTTGCAGATGTGGTGGTCTTGGTCAGCTTTGGGACAGGGGCTTGAAACACCCAGTTCCTGCAGAGGTGGTCAGGAGATGTCATGGCTGTGCTGGGCAGCTTTGGGAGAGGTGTTGTGGTCTTGGTCAGCTTTTGGACAAGGGTTTTAAACACCCAGTTCCTCCAGATGTGGTGAGGAGGTGTCGTGGCTATGCTGGGCAGCTTTCTCCTGGTCCATGGCCCCACAGCAGTTTTTGTGGTGCAGCGTGGTGGGTTCTGCCCCTCCCCAGAGCAGCTGTTCCTTTGTCCCCTTGCTTGGGCCTGTGGATTTCCCTTTGGACTCTCTGTGAGGAATGGAGGGAGTTGATTTTTTATTCCCTGTGCTGATTGTCCAGAGTCTCCCACAGCCTTAGCAGAGGCTGGGGGCTGTGGATGTCATGTGTGAACCTCTCCTGAGCCTCCCCACATGCCAGAGCTCCCAAAAGCCACCTCAGAGTCACAGAATGTCCTGGGTTGGGAGGGACCCACAAAGATCCTTGAGCACAAACACCCCAAAAATCCCACCCTGAGCATCTCAGGGGGCATTGTCCAAACATTCCTGGAGCTCTGGTTGCCTTGGGGTTGGGACCATTCCCTGGGGAGCCAATTTTTTTGTGCAAAAAGGCAAATTTCTGTATGCCATAGCAATTATTGGGGTCTGCAGACCTCGGTGGAGAAGGGTAATGAGGTGCACAAACCTATTCACTGTTGACCTGCAGTGAAAGCACAAAGTGGCAGCAAAAACCCAAACAAAACCCATATTTCTGGCCCATCTGAGTGACATAACCTGGAGTAAGAGTTGTAAGAAGCCCCAGTGAAGATGCTCTGGAGAGGTTTTACACAACTTGAGGTGCTCTCTAGCATTCAGACTTTGATAATGTCATGGCATCTGTTCAGGATCTTGGGTAATGAGGATTTGCACAAAATGGTGATTGAATTTCTGGTCTTGAGCGCTTAATGGAAAAAGAGCTGTTGCCTTGGGTGCTTTGCTTTCTTCGAGCTGTCTTTGAGACATCAAAAGCTGGCGGAACAGGAAAAAGAGAAACGTTAAGAATGGTTTAAAAATAGTTTAATTGTATCTTCTGAAAACCTTTGGAGTGGGGACTTTAGGCGGTTTCTGCCCCTGTGAATACTTGCAGCTGAGTTCAAAATGTGTAAATAAGCACAGGGCTTTGAAGATTAGTTTCCATAACAAATTAAATAAAAATATTGTGTGACAGAATGTTAAGTAGGTGCCATGTGTCACCGGGTGCTTTGCATGAGGGCTGGCTTTTCCCAATTACCTGGCTGCTCCTTGGAAAACAAATGCTGTCTTTTGGATACTTTAAACTTTGTAGTTCTTGAGCATGAAAGAGGCAGGGGAAAAGTCCCTTTTTAAGGAAATGCTGGTGAGGAACACTGAGAGCAGGATTCCTTGCAGGACATCCCTGTCTCAGGGGAGGTGTGGGAGAAACAGCCCAGGCTTTCCCCCTGTTCACAAACCTTGATATTCCAGCTGGAATTAGTAAATTTGATAGTGCTTTGGACTAAAATCTGGAATTTTCTGTTGCAAATATTTCTAATAAACTGCAGGCAGGACATCTGTTGCTAGACTCTGTTCATCTGCGTATAACAATTTAAAATATCCATGTATAACCATTTAAAACATCCATGTATAACCATTTAAAATATCCATGTATAACCCGGCTTTTAAAGCAAGCTTCTCATTTTATATTTAGTCTAATGCAAGGTGTCACCTGCAGGTTGCTATTTGACTGTTGCATTTCAATCAAGTATTGCTTGTGACAGGGTCACAAAATAAGACTTGTTGCTAGAAAAAGGCAAAAAGTTGGAAAGGAAATTAATTTGAAACACATTCCTGTGCTTTTTGTAATGGATGAGTGATGCACAGAGAGAACACCTGCACTGAAGGACAAACACAGAAGCAGTAAGATATTTGAGATTTGTGGTAGAATTTCAGCTTTTTCCATTTCATATTTCTTCAAGGGATTTATCAGGCTGGAGCAGAGCAGAGGTTGCTCATCTTTACTACCTCATCTAGTCCTGCTTATTCCAAGAATGGCATTAACAGCTTTAACACACTTAATTCTGCAATCCCCTGTCATGGGCCGGAGGGGGATTTTCTTCCTAACACAGCTGGGGGTTGGATCATCTCAACATGTTGTGCTGTGGCTCCCACATGCTGCTCCTTTGGCTGGATAAAACTTGACCACATTCCACTGCTGGTCTGCTCAGGTGCCTTAACCAGAATTTAGAGATAATATTTCAAAATAGAGATAATGTATTTCACCTCTGGACATCACTGGGTCAGGATAAAATAAATAATAAATAAGTTAATAAAGCCCCTTTTGCCTGGACATTGAGTGTTGGACAGAAAGCTGGGGAAATGTTGGGGCAGATGGTGCTAATTCAGGATTTATTGCTGTCTCCCTTCTCCAGGGGGGCTCAGGCAGGACATCAGGAGATGCTCAGGTGTTCCCTCAGACAGAACACTCTGGTTTGGTGAGGACAAGGGCTGTCTTGATCTGCATCTTGGCAATTCACAGCTGGATCTCCAAGGATAAATCCAGGTCCCTGTTCCCCATCTAAAGCCCTTCTTCCTACTTCTGAAGCCCTGCTTGGTGTTGGTGTTGGCTCTTGGAGTGCTGATTTCACCTCTGTTCTCTTTCCTGACATGGAGTTCTTGGTGTGTTCTGGGTTACAGAGTTGGGTTTGATCATTTCAGCCTCATTTGAACTTCTCAGACTGAGCATGGAGATGCTGATGGACAGGACTGACCTTCCCTTGGGTTTGTTCATCCTGCCCTCCTCCTCCTCCCCGAGTTACTCACGGTGTTTGCTCTGTTTGGTTTGGAGTTCGAAGCCCAAACCGCTCGTTAAAGCTGTTGTGGGGTGCTAAGTAAAGAGTAATTAAAAAGAAAAACATAAAAACCTCAAGCAGTAACACTCGTGGGTGCCCTTCTATGTGGACTTGTTGGGAGAGCCACTGAAGAGCTCGTGTTGGTGCCAGGGCTTCCTCCAGGAAACCAGGGACAGGGTGATAGACAGATGGGAAGCAAATCCTGATTAACATGAAGGATTGTGTAAAAGTGTTGTTGGACATGTGTTATTGGCAGTACTGCTGTAGGAAATTCAGCTTTCTAAACTGAGAAACAAGAATTTTCTGGCTGAAACTGGCTGTGCCAGGCTGGGATGCTCTTGGTGTGGAGTCTCATCACTCCTGAGCTTCAGAAATGACACCAAGGCTCTCCTGGAGCCTCTTTGCTGGACTGAGGGAGCAGGAAAACTCAGTTTTCTTTTGAAGATAAGCATTGATAAGTTGTGAGGATGAATGGTAAGACTCCTCAGAAACATTCTTGAAATGTGGAATTTACACAGAAAGGTGGAGATGAGGCAGAATTTACACTGTCAAGTGGAGATGGGGCAGAATTTGCCCTGAAAGGTGGAGATGAGGCAGAATTTGCACTAAGTGAAAATGAGGCAGAATTTACACAGAAAGCTGGTCATGAGGCAGAATTTTCACTGAAAGGTGGAGGAGATGAGGCAGAATTTGCTCTGCCAAGTGGAGATGAGGCAGAATTTTCACTGAGAGCTGGAGATAAGGCAGATGCTCCATGGCTGCCCCTTCGCACAGGAATCTCCCAGGACAAGCAGGACCAGGTGCCACCTCTGTAACCTGTCAGGCCTCACGTGTGCAGGTTCTCTGTGACACTCACCTGCCTCTGGTGTTTCTCCCCAGTGTGTCCCCCTGCCTGCAAGTCCCAGGGCTGCACGGGGGACGGGCAGTGCTGCCACAGCGAGTGCCTGGGCGACTGCACAGAGCCCAACGACCCCACCAGGTGTGTGGCCTGCAAAAACTTCTACCTGGACGGGAGGTGTGTGGAGAACTGTCCCCCTGGGCACTACCGCTTCGAGGGCTGGCGCTGCGTCACCTTCAGCTTCTGCCAGGAGCTGCACAACAAGTGCAAGAACGCCCGCGAGTCCGGCTGCCACGTCATCCACAACAACGAGTGCGTGCACGAGTGCCCCTCGGGGTACATCATGAACTCCAGCAAGTGAGTACCTGGGCTGCATGGAGAAAATTGGGGCTTGGGTGGGCTTTCCTCCTCTTTGGACATGGGGTTTGGGTGGTGTGTGAAGAGCAGGAGTGTCATTCTTGTGCTGAGAGTGACACAGTGTTGTGGTTTGACACAGTACCCCCATGAAAATATATTCTCCCCAGTGTCTGCTGTGAGATGTGACCAGAAATAGAGCAAAACAGGCTCCAATTCAGGAATAAGGGACAAAAACTTTATTAACTTACAATATGTAAAAGAAACAAACAGAACTCAGAGTAAAAATTTTCCAAAAAAGTTCCTCCTCCCCCCACCAAATTCCCAACACAGCACAGTGAGACAAAACCTTGGATTCTCAATCAATTTACCACCCCTCAGATAGCCAACTCTCAGTTCATCACCACCCTTCATATAATCAATTCTCAGCTCATCAAGAAGAGAGGACCATAGGCTTCCCCAGGAAACGCAGTTGAAACTTCTTTATTCAAGAGAACCACGCGGTTTTTATAGAGTGATACAATAGATTCTATTTGATTGGCTAGCTAACAAAAACATCTTCTGTAAGTAAAGATGAGACTCTTAATCTCAGGGTTATGGGTTTGAGCCCCACATTGGGCACCACCTGTAAGAGTTCAGAGTTGTAGGTTTGAGCCCCACGTTGGGCACCAGCGTAAGAATCCACCCAATCTGGATGGGCTGTTTGGGTCCAACCCAGCTGGCTGGGGACCCCAGCCCACATGGTCTTACATAGATGAAAGCAAAAGACGAGAAGTCCTCTTCTCCACGTGGGAATGAATTTACAGTGAAAGCTGAAGATGAGGCAGAATTTACACAGTAAGGTGGAGATGAGGCAGAATTGGCACTGACAAGTGGAGATGAGGCAGGGGATGAATGTCCTCTGTTTATTGACTTGAGATGGAAAAACCCACATGGGAAGCACTCGTGGCTCATGGCAAGAGACTTTTATACCTGGGAGAAGGGGGGGCAGAGGAAGAGGACCATGGCCAATGGGATACCAGTGAGGAGGGGTGAGGGGAGGGACTGACCAGGGAAGAGACCACCAACGCTGATAATTAGTGGGGGGGAAAAGGGGAAGAACATGTTGTCATAGGATACAAATCATGTGAAAAGCAAAAATTACCAAACACCCAGTGAAAACAACTAAGTAACTGTTTAGTGCAATACAGCAATCTTCCTCATACACCATCCTTGAGAAGAACAGACAGAAGAAGTAGAAGAACACCACCTGCAGATTGTTTATACATAACAAGTTATCACATCCTTACAACTCCCTAAAAATTCTCACAAGCCACTCTGAGAAACGCTCGCTGTTTCTCTCTCTCTGTCCCATAGCATCCACACAGGAGTTAGAGCAATCACCTGGCCTGCTTTAATATGATTTACAAACTAATACCTTGCTAATTCAAGCCATTAAAAGCTCTCCCTGCCATGGGCTGGTAGGTTATTCTTGCCCTGCTTGCTGTCAAGTTTGGAAAAAGCGAGAAAGGGAGATGGAGAGAGGAGAAGGAAGAGCATCCACGGCGTGGGAGGAGGGAGGTGGGCAGTGGATTTAGCAACCCCACTTCCCTCCCCTCTGGAGCAGCCTCAGGCCAGGGAGCCAGGCTGGAAAAGCACAGCAGGGAGAGGCCGTGGCTAATGAAGAGAGCACAGCGTCCTCGGAGTGCTCGTTCTCAGAATATCAGTCCCTCATCCCTGTAATTACTTTCATTGAGCAGGTTCAAGCTGTGCCAGACATAAATGCACAATGTAACAAACAAGTGTAGCACGAATCAAAGCAGGGAACAGCCATTCTGCCTATTCCCAGGGGGTTTTGACAAAGGAATTAAATAATTTATGGTGCTGAGCTGTTTATCACTGAAAACTTGGTTGTTTGTCCCGCATTACCATTCTAGATTGTGGTGAGTCAGATTTCCTATGAATATTGGTCACTTTGTGCTTGCATGTACTTGCTCCTGCCATAATAATTTCAGGGAATTCACTCTTAACAGGACTTTTTATGCCATTTCCTGTTTTGTTTTTCCAAAGAATCAACAAGCAGCCCCCAAAGTGGCTGTGCTGCTTGTGCAACAGCCCCGTGGCCCCTCCTGTGCTGTTCCAGGCTGCTGCCAGTGGGACCTCACAGCTCTGCTCCCTGCTTTTCCTAGAGCATTTCTTTCTCTGAACTAGTTGGGAACACATTCTTGTGGTGGTGTGACCAGGGCAAGCCATCAGCTCGTGCTATTTAAGCAGTATTTCCCCAGAGCACAAAGCACGTTCTTGCCTTTTTTTAAAGCAACATTGTGTGCAGTCCTCAATCAGAGGATTCCCAGATGCAGGGCCAGCTCTCCACTCATCAATTACACGTTTGGTTAATGATTTTGAGATGAATACTGGGCTGGGACTTATTATCTTGAAAGCCCTGGGATGGAGAGCACTGGGCAGCATCGTGGCCAGTTGCCTCTTCACAATAATTCAGGTCACTTCATTTTTGTTTTGTAGGGAGGGATAGAACGATTCATGTTTGAAGTGACAATTTAAGACCATTTAAATTTACCAGCAGTTATTTTCAAGGCCAGGTTGGATGGGGCTTGGTGCAAGGTGTGGAAAGAGGTTGGAATGGGATCAGCTTTAAGATCGCTTCCAACCCAAACCATTCCAAGATTCTGTGCCTCTCTTTGGAGTTCCTAAAAAGCGACCCCACGATGATTGATCACTCAGCTTTTGGGCACTGCTGGGGCCATCCTGCCTGACCCTGCTCCCTTCCTGTGCTGTTTTGCAGCCTGCACTGCACGCCCTGTGCAGGGCCCTGCCCCAAGGTGTGTGACTTTGGCAAGGAGAAGACCATCGACTCGGTGACATCGGCGCAGGAGCTGCGGGGCTGCACCGTGGTCAACGGCAGCCTGGTCATCAACATCCGCGGGGGAAGTAAGTGGGGATGGCTGGGCAGCCAGGGAAACCTCCTCAGCCTCAGAGGGACCCAGAGAAACCAGCACAAAGCAGAGGCTTTCATTTGACTGTTTTTGTTAATTGATTGTTGCCAGTTCTCCTGAATTAACGTAAAGAAATTAAATATTAATGTTTATTAATTGTCGCGTTCGCGTTCTCTGGAAAAATCCCTTTGCCCAGGATTTTTCTCCTGGGAGGCTGAGAAGCCTCAGAAAAAGGAAAACAATTCTTATCTCATTTGCTTCTCCTCTGTTTTGCTCATGTGGAATGTGTTTGGGGATTGTTTACCCACTGATGATTGTTTCATTGGTTTTTGGTGTAATTTTTACTCTTTGGCCAATCAGTGCCAAGCTGTGTCAGGACTCTGGAGAGAGTTACAATTTTTCATTATTATCTGTTATTTAGCATTCTTTTTAGCATTTTAGCATACTAAGTATCCTTTCTGTATTCTATAGTACAGTATAGTATAGTATAGTATAGTATAGTATTCTTTAATATAATATAGTATCATAAAATAATAAATTAGCCTTCTGAGAACATGGAGTCAGATTCATCATTCCTCCCTGCCACGAGGATCTCAGCAAATACAATAATTAATATTGTTAAATATTAATGTTTGGGCTTTAATTGTTTAATATTCATGTTAATTGTTTAATATTCATATTAATGGTTTCATATTCATGTTTATTGTTTCATATTAATATTAATTTTTAATATTAATTTAATATGTGGATGTTTCTCTCTGTGATACCAGAAAACTCTTCCCAATGTTTTCCTCTCTGTAGATAACATAGCAGCTGAGCTGGAAGCAAACCTTGGCTTGATAGAAGAAATCTCAGGTTACCTAAAAATCCGCCGCTCTTATGCCTTGGTTTCCCTTTCCTTTTTTCGGAAGCTCCATCTGATCAGAGGAGAGACACTTGAAGCTGGGTGAGTTCTCTCAAAAGATGCTTTATTTGAATGTTTTGAAGTACCAGGAGTGCCACTTCTATCAGGGTGATTTGTATTGGGAAACAATTCCCAAGTTGTTTTTAAATGTTCTTCTGCCCATGACTTGTGCCCTGCCAGGGCAGACAATTTGCATTCATTTTTCTTTGGTGCCTGAATTAGTGCAAAAAGAGTTTTCCATTCATCCCCTCCCAACCCATGTTTTCATTCTTCTGTTTTCAGGAATTATTCCTTTTATGCCTTGGACAACCAGAATCTTCGCCAGCTCTGGGACTGGAGCAAACACAACCTCACTATTGCACGGGGCAAACTCTTCTTCCACTACAACCCCAAGCTGTGCTTGTCAGAAATCCACAAGATGGAGGAGATCTCTGGGACTAAGGGGCGTCAGGAGAGGAATGACATAGCCCTGAAGACCAATGGGGATCAGGCCTCGTGTAAGAGCCTCAAAATAAAGCTTTGCTTCCCTTTCCTCTCCCTCTGCCTTGCTCTCCTCATGCTGCTCCTTCTCCCAGCCCAGCCCATGATGCTTTCCATCCCTTTCCATCCTTTTCCATCCCTTTCCATCCCTTTTCATCCCTTAGATAAAGCAGCAGATGTGCCCCTTGCCTGTGCACTCACAGTCACTGTGCCATGAGGAAAAGTCCCCATGGGATCTCCCTATGGCACCCTTGGTCCCACAAAACCCTGGGAGGTTTTTGGGGCTGGGAATGTCTTTATTGGGTCTTTTTGAAGAGTTTAACACAGTGTAACCTCAGCCCAGGCTGGGACTTTGTGTTACTGCTGAGTACCTGATTAATAGTCATAATCTGCTTTTCCCATGTCATGAGGCAACATGGAATAAACACAGGAGAAACAGGATTTCCGCCCATCCCTGCAGCCACATGAGGCAATTGCCATGACAACAGGCAGGGAAAAATTTCCAACAATTTTTGCAATGCCTCTCTGAGGTTTTTCACCGAATAGCTTTCTTCAGGAGCAACGATCAGACAGCTCCTGTGTCAGCAAACAGCACAGGGTGGGCTTTGAAGTTGTGCTGCTGAAGATGGGGTTCTGCAGGCACTTATTTGGCAGCAATATTGCAATAAATGCAGTCCTTCTGCACCCCCAGTCCTGCTGTTTGTTCCCTTTTTGTGCCACCAACAATCCCCTTTCCATGTTTGTACCAGGGCTCTGTTGTGGAAGTAAACAGGGGTAGGAAAATCCAGCTTTGTTCTGAGCTGGTGGTGTCTCTCTGCCCTGATTCATTCTCAGCCCCACAGAGATTCACCTGCACGCAGGAGCAGGAGCAGGTGCAGGTGGTCATGGGCCCCTTGGAGCTCAGGATATTCTGTGCAGGACATGGGGACAGGGGCAGTGACCCATCCATGCAGTTGGGTTGTGTCCTGGGAGATCACAAAAAAGCCCAGCATTGACTGAACTGGGATTTCAGACCCTCGCTCACAACCTGCAGGGCAGCTTGGGGCATCCTGTGGCTTCACTGTCCCTCTGCTTTTGGGGACAGCACTGCCAGAAGAGCCCAAGGTCCTTCCCCGCCCAGAACATCCCAGGATTCTGTGGTTTCTGATCCTGTCCTCGTTGCCCCTCATTGATGCCGCTGTTTGTGATCAGACCTGAAAAGTGAAGATCTTTCAGTTGACTCAGTTTCCTGCTCTGGTTTCCCACATTTCATCACCACAGGCAGGCAGGCCAGCACAGAGGGAGAGGGGAATGCAGTGGCTGTGACCTGAAACCTGGCAGGAGCAGTGAAAAACACACACGGAGCCTCTGGGGCACCGCAGCTCCAGCCGGGCACAGGCAAGAGCACAAGGAATCAGCTGTCTGTAAAGTTCATCTCCTCCCATGGGACACTGAAAAACTCTTCCCACATTGGGGATGAACCTGAATTTGGGTAGATGCAGCTCTGCCTGTGGCTCCTGGGCTGGTGTTTGGTGTGAAGGCAGCTGGAGGAGACAGTTTTGCATTTCTGTTTGCCAGCTTTACCCTCACCCTGCTGAGCTGGTGTCTGTGCCACCCCCACCTCAAACCACAGCTTGCCAGGTTGTTTGGCTTTTTGTTTGCTTTTACATTTCAAGCTCAGCTTTCACACTGGCAGCATCCTGTTTACTAAAAAAAAATAGAAAAGGGGAAAAAAAAGCTCCCCTGTTTGTTCTGGATGTGGTGCCAGTGAAATAAATGTTCTTCCTCCTACTGCAGGAATAGCAAATTCAATCAGAGCCACTTGGGCTGGGGGCACAAAACATGTCATACCATGTTCCTTGAGCTCCATCCTCCTGCAAACACATTCCTGTGACCTCACTGCTCCTGGGCAAGGCTGGAAATTCTTCTGCATCATTTTTGTGACCTCTTGCCTTCTGTGCAAACCATATTGCTGTGCAGATCATCATCAATTGTGAAATGTGTTGCCTTTAGATTTCTCACTTTGTAGAATTTAGTTGAGCTCTCCTTCAGAGTCATTTTCATGAAATCATACAAAAATTTAACCTTAGGAGGGCATTGATACCAGCCCCTGATTTGAGGTAGGAATGGCTGCCAGGTAAGATAAGGTTTTACTGGGCAGCTCTTCTCAGTGCCAACATCCTCACGTTCATCTTAAACTTCTAAAATAATTAAAAACAGAATTTAAATTATGTTTGATGCTTCATTTTCCAGCATCAATAAAACCCTTGTCACTTCTCACTTGTTACAGGTGAAAACGAACTGCTGAAATTTTCTTCCATTAGGACTTCTCATGACAAGATCCTGCTGAAGTGGGAGCCCTACTGGCCCCCTGATTTCCGTGACCTGCTGGGGTTTATGCTGTTCTACAAGGAGGCGTAAGTGACCCCTCAGTGGCCTTGCTGGGCTGCCACCAGCAGCAGCTGCCATTCAGAGGTGGATGTTCAACCTGCTGGATGGGCAAAGCTGTTCAGTCTCTGATTTTGTGGCTCCTGCACTAAAGTTTCCAGTGATATCCTTGTGTAAAAGTGTTCATTGAGATCCCTGACTTGTGCACACAATTCCTCATTTAAGAACAATCCCAACTTGAGTTATTCCTGCTGTTCTAGACACACATACTCAAATCATGGAGTTTCTCATCTCCTCACAGTTCCTCATTTAAGAACAATCCCAACTTTAATTATTCCTGCTGTTCTAGACACACATACTCAAATCATGGAGTTTCTTATCTCCTCACAGCTCCTCATTTAAGAACAATCCAAACTTTAGTTATTCCTGCTGTTCTAGACACACATACTCGAACCATGGAGTTTCTCATCTCCCCACTCTCTCTGTGGAATGCTGAGGGGTTTATCCCCTTTGAGGTGGGAAGGATTCTTGTAGAATCAAGGTAACCAAGCTGATTCTCATAAAACTCACAATAATCAGTCTGGATTTAGTTGTTGGGGTCATGCTGGGCACAGATCCTGCTCTGTGATGCTATTGGAGGCCCAGATGACAAAGCTCCCAATGCCTCCATTTCAGAATAAATACAATGAGATAATTTTACTTTCTCTGAAGGGTAAAGGGTGATAACTTCCAGTGTGTCTTTAGAAATTTTAAGAGCTTGATTGAGGATTCTGTTAATTGGAGCCTTTTCTTTCCTCAAGTCCCTACCAGAACGTGACGGAGTTCGATGGCCAGGACGCCTGTGGCTCCAACAGCTGGACAGTTGTGGATGTGGATCCCCCACCACGCTCCAACGAGCCCAAAGCCCAGGCCCAGCCAGGCTGGCTCCTGAGGGGCCTGAAGCCCTGGACACAGTATGCAGTGTTTGTGAAAACCTTGGTCACCTTCTCCGACGAGCGGCGCACGTACGGCGCCAAGAGCGAGATCATCTACGTGCAGACCAACGCCACGGGTCAGTGCAGCACCCCTGGGCTAAAACCAGGCCTAACTGAGCCTGCTTGGGGGTTAGCCAGGAGATTTCCCACTGCTCTGCTTTGGTAGGGAGGAATTATCCAGGAAATTTCCCACTGCCCTGGAGGAATTACCCAGGAAACTTCCCGCTGCCCTGCTTTGGTAGAGAGGAATTATTTAGGAAACTTCCTTCCCACTGCCCTGCAGGAATTATTTAGGAAACTTACACTGCCCTGCTTTAGTAGGGAAGAATTATCCAGGAAACCTCCCACTGCCCTGCTTTGGTGGGAGGGAAATATTCAGGAAATTCCCAGTGCCCTGCTTTGGTAGGAAGGAATTATCCAGGAAACTTCCCAATGCCCTGGAGGAATTATGCAGGAAACTTCCTTCCCACTTCCCTGCTTTGGTAGGAGGGAATTATCCAGGAAACTTCCTTCCCACTGCTCTGCTTTGGGAGGGAGGAATTATTCAGGAAACTTCCCACTGCCCTGGAGGAATTATCCAGGAAACTTTCTTGAATTATCCAGGAATTATTTAGGAAATTTCCCACTGCCCTGCTTTGGGAGGGAGGAATTATTCAGGAAACTTCCCATTGTCCTGCTTTGGTAGGAAGGAATTCCTAAACCAGGGGAGAGATTCCAGATGGTGCCAAGGGGCACCTCTTCTATCCAATTTGTGTGGCCTCATTAAGATAAGGCTGGAAGAGGCTCCAGGATGATCCAGCCCAGGCTGGAGGAGCCTGCTGGGTGCCTCAAGGGAATCAAGGGAATGCTTGATTGCCATAGAAATGGGAATTTGCAATAGAAATGGGAATGTTCCTGTGCTGGCTCTGAGGGCAGTGCAGTGACTCTGTCTCTTGCCCACCCCCAGTTCCGTCGGTCCCGTTGGATCCCATCTCTGTCTCCAACTCCTCATCCCAAATCATCCTCAAGTGGAAGCCTCCCTCAGAGCCCAACGGGAACATCACACACTACCTGGTGTACTGGCAGCAGCAGGCAGAGGACAGTGAGCTCTATGAACTCGATTACTGCCTCAAAGGTGAGTGCCTGCTTCTCCCTCCTGCCCTTTCCCTCAGTCTCTCCCACAATTGGGGATTTCCCTTGCTCTGGGGTCCTGCTGGATTCAGGACTGTTTTTCTGGAATCAGCTCTGTCCCTGTTCTGTTACATTAGGTGCTGCTGCCAAGGTATGTGCAAAAGGTCTAAAAATGTTTTTAAAAATTATCACATGTTTTTTCATTTGGGGAATGTCCCTTCTGCCCTTGCTCCTTTTAAACTGAATGATGAGTTTAATAGCAGCAATGGAGATAGTAAAGTTAAAAATTTGGGTGATGTTGGACCTCAGGCCCAAGTTCATTTTTGAAGGCAGCTGGTGCCTGGTTTGGAATTCCTTGAGAACACAGAATTTCACTGAGGACTTCCAAAATCTCCCCTGCTGCTCTGTGTTACCTGAACCGGGATAAAGCAGCATCCAAGCTCCATTGCAAAACCAGCATTTTTGAACTAAATTCCTGTGAGAAAGAAGGGAACTGCTCAGCCCTGGATGAGAAAATGAGATGCCCAAATGTGCCATGAGTCCTGTGTACACTGGTTTGGGATCTCTGTGTAGGATCAAACATCTGCCAAGCCAGGCACAAGTGACACTAAAACTGTTTTGTCCCAGGATTAAAGCTGCCCTCAAGGACCTGGTCTCCTCCTTTTGAATCTGAAGACCCCCAGAAGTATAACCAGAGTGAAGCTGAGGATGTCAGTGGAGAATGTTGCTCCTGTCCTAAAACAGACTCCCAGATCCAGAAGGAGCTGGAGGAATCTGCTTTCCGCAAAACCTTCGAGAATTATCTCCACAACGAGGTTTTTGTGCCCAGGTGAGAACATCAAACAGGGCTCAGGGGCAGGGAAATGTAATTGAGGATTAAATAAAAATACCAGCTTGGACACAGCCACATTGCCAGGCCTCCATGAGCCAGCTGGATATGGGTGTTGGAATAGGGAGAGCAGAGCACCTACCACGGATCTTCCTGCAGATTGGGAAACCCCTGCTTTCATTTCCTGTTCCTGAATTCTCCTCAGCTCAAGAATAAAGTGAGAATCCTTAACAAACAGCCTGCAGCTCATCTGGCATCAGATGATGCCAAAAATAGCGATTTTCTTTTCCTGTCTTGAAATTTTGTGGTCAGGTTTCTCATTGAGTTGCAAAGAAAGGAGAAGGGCAGTGTACCAGGCCACAGCCTCGTCCTCCAGCGTGGTATTTGTGGTCTCCCTTCACTTAGTGTGGGAAATGCCTCCAATACCATGAGGAATGTGAGTGCCTGGGTGGTGAATGTCCTGTTTGCAGTGGCACACTTGGTGTCACATTAAGTGGTGTTGAATGTCTTCACACTTCATCTGCAGCCTTGGGGAGGAAGTGCTGGGGAGCAGGGTAGGATCTGTGGTGATTTACCCTCTTCCCTCTCATGCCTTTTGTGCTCTAAATTTACTCTCTGCTTGCTGCCCTCAGCCAGCAAAGCTGCATTTGCAGCTGCCTGACAAAAGCTGGGTCACTGCACTGAGCATTTTCCCTGGGGTTCCCTGCCCTGGTGCCTGCACTCCTCACATGGAAGCTTGGGCAGAGCCCCTCATTTTGCTGTTGGTGCTCATCAGGATGAGCTGCAGTGTGCCACAGGATGCCAGGACATGACACGCTCCAAAGCAGAGGAGAACCAAGCCAAATGCAAAAGCCAAACTCCTCCTGATGCAGGCAGACAATTCTGACACTCTGATTTCTTTTTTTTTTTTTCCCCCACCCCCAATTTTATTGTGCAGCCAGCCCAGGATGCTTCTCAGGCCATTTTTTCTGGGGTATATATTTTAGGAAGAAACCAATCACCAGGATGTGCCACCTTGTCAGCCTCCTGAGGAAGAAATCCCCACATCCCATGGCCAACTAATCCTCTAAAACAAGGCAGTGCTGGAGAGGCCTCCCTGCTGCCACATGCCCTGCTTGTCCTCTCTGGCAGGCTCCAGGCTGTCAGCACATAAATCAGAATTCTTCTTCCTGTGAATGCTGTGCCATCACCTGCTCACAGAGCCTGGCAGGGAGCAGGGAGTGTGGTTTAATTTACTTCAGGTGCTTTTTTTGTGGCTCCTGAGAGTTCAGTGACCTCTCCTGAGGTGCTGTGTGGCCTCTCCTGGAGAGCAGGAGCTTGCCAGCCACGGGAGGAATGTCAGGGGTGAGGCCAGCAGGGAACAGGAGATGCCAGGGCAGCAGAATCACAGCAGTTTCTCCCTGATATCTTCTTGTTTTCCATGTGCCATTTGTGCCCTCCTGCCCTGCTCCCAGCGATCTGATCCCTGGGCAGGATCCAGCCTCAGTGCAGGGCTGATCTCACCCTCTGGAAATCACAGTTCCTTCCCCCTGGGCACGTTGATTACCCCCTCCAGGAGCCACTGTCACACCTCCTGGGGCTCAGCTTTCTCTGGCAGTGACAAAAAGCCAAACTAGAAGTTCAGGAATGTTCCTGTGCTCAGGCAGAGCTGGCAGTGCCTCACTCCAGGTCCATTTGGGGCTGAACAAAGTGGCCATCTTTGTTTGTTTGGTGCTTTCTTTCTTCTTTCCTGGGTTATTTGCTCTCATTTTGGAGGAGTTCTGCTCAGGTTGGAGCTCAGGGCTGGTCACAGCCTGGCACAGGGATGGATGTGTGGAGTCTCCATCCCTGGAGACAGACAATCAGACAATGCCCAGAAGTGTCTCCAGCCTCAGCCCTCCATAGTTCTGTGGGGAAGATTCAGAAAAAGTCCTGAGAGGCAGAGAGGAGCTCAGTGGCTGCTGTTCAGGTGTCATTCCAGGTATTCCCTCCATTCCTTCACCACTGCAGCAGGAGCAGCCCCAGTTCTCTGTCTCTCTCTGTCACACACGTTTGTGCCATTCCCAACATTTTTGGGGAGCAAGATCTGAGGGATTATTCACTTTAAAAGTTATTGTTTTCCTCTGTGTTTCCCCATTCAGTTAATTGTACAGACAAATCTAAAATGCTTTGGCCAGGCCAGCTGACCTGGGGTGGTTTCAGGGGTGTGGAAAAGCCTGGCTCAAGGTACCAAAGGCATTTTTGGAATCCCCCAGCACAGGCTGTGCTGTGTGTGCTGAGATGTCACTTCCAGCCCCCTCACATCCCTGTGAGGACAGGAGGAACCTGGACCTGAGGGTTTCACAGGGAGCTGCTGAGATGGCCTCAATGCAAATTACACTGGAACAACTCTGAGAAAAATCAGATGTTTGAAAACACTGAGAATTTGGCAAGAAAATTGCTGCAAATCCAGGATAATAAATATGGGAAGATTGGGGATTTACAGCTTCAAAAGCTTTTCTTAACTTACTGTGACATGAGAAGGAAAGAATTCTTGCATTTTACTGTGTGTTGCATCAGTGGTCAAATTACTGTTTTACTTGTGAAAAACAAAATTCCCTTGAACACGAGGATCAGCTGAATTCACATTGGATAAACAGAGGGTGTAGCTTTGCTTTTATGCAAACCAGGTCCTGTTTGACCAGAAGGAATCTTTCCCAAGGAGGGAGGTGGCATGACCCAGAGCTGGGTCCCTGAACTCTGCCCCATCCTGAGGGGACGCAGCACCACACAGGCTGAGGGAACAGCAGCTCCAAAAGGAGTTAATTAGTAATTAAGAAAGAGAAAACTTAAAACTGGAATGTGTTTGCTGAACCTGCCTGTAGGATTGATGGGGGTAGCACGGTGGGGACGGACAGAGATGAGAGATCTGTGCAGCCAGGTCATGGAAATTGCATTTATTGCAAAGGGCCTGGGTGCAGGGCCCTGCTGGGAGCTGCAGCCACAGCTCGGAGCAGGCCTGAGAGGAGAGAGGGGTAGAGAGGTGAGAGGGTGAGAGAGTAAAAGGCAAGAGAGCAAAGTTCCCATTCCAATACAATAAATCATCTTCTGTGTTGAATATTCTGATTCTCACTAACCAATCCAGTACAATGTACAAATCCTATAACATTTACATACAGCCTATAAGAATCATTACATTACCATACTGTGTTACATTTTAAACCCTAAAAACTCCTCTTTGGGCCCCTTCTGCCAAGCTGGCAGGGTCTGCTCTGACCCTTGGGCCTGTCTGCAAGCAGAGGGTGTTGTTCCATCAAAAGGGGATCACCTTCAGCCGGCCACACCATTGTTTTCCAGTTGTTCAGTAACTGAGGGATCTCAAAGCTTGCTTTCATTTCAATTTCACTTATAGTTTCTATATTCTCAAAATCTTTTGCCAGGCAATCATAATTTATAAGGCTTTCCTGTTTCATCTTCCCCAACACCTGCCATCCTTATTTGTCATCAGGTGGATGAATATTGTGTCCCAGCTGGGAGGGTGGGCAGGCCCTGGCACAGGGTGCCCAGAGCAGCCCCTGGATCCCTGGCAGTGCCCAAGGCCAGGCTGGACAGGGCTGGGAGCAGCCTGGGACAGTGAAGGTGTCCCTGCCATGGCAGGGGTGGCACTGGATGAGCTTTGAGGTCCCTCCCAACCCAAACCATTCTGTGATGATGACAACTCTGTGAATATCTGTGTTGTGTGCAGTGTTTAGGTTGAGGACATCTCAAACTCTGCTTTTGGCAGGTGCCTTTTGCTGTAGGAGGAGAAACAGCTCCAGGGAAGGTGGCAGAGACCTGTGAGAGCAAATCCCTGTTGGGGCTGGGGCTGGCCATGGCCTGGTGGTCAGAGGTGGCAGTGGAAAGTTCAGTTCAGCAGCAAAGATTTGCTTCAACAGCTTGTTACATTTTTAGAGCCTGGAGATGCCTCAAGTGTGGGTTCAGATCAGGTCACTCTTTGTACCCTTTAATAGCTGCACACACATGCACACACACACACAAAAAGATCATCACCCCCTTAAAATACATGGTCTGGATTTCAGCTGGCATTAATTCCTTTTGTGTAACTGAATACAGTTACTGATTCACCACCTTGGTTAGTTCCCGACCTGGAATTCCCCGTGGCAAATATGTGGCAGCACATAAGAGTGTTAGATTGAGCACTTTTGGAACAGTGTTAGATTGAGCACTTTTGGAACAGTGTTAAATTGAGCACTTTTGGTTTGGTACTGATCCCTTCTTCTTTTTCTTTTTTTTTTTTCTTGCCAAGAAAATGAAATTTTTGAATGTCTCTTAATTCTGTTGAATTTATTCTGTTTATTTGCTGACAAAACCTGATATTAAAGCTGGCTGGTGGCACTCAGTACAGACAGGGAAGGTGACATGGTCACACTGCAGGTGCTGGTTTTACAAGTGAAAAAATCACATTTTCTGACTGAAATGCAATAACCTGAGCAGCAACATTTGCTTAACAAAACCACACAGTGAATATATAATCAGAATAGAGTTCTAAATGCATGCCTTGAAAAGAACTTAATAGACTTGATCTCTTGGGGAAAGTTTAAAATGCTTCGTGTATCCATCGAGGTTCAGCCTTGGAGGTGAATGTGGCAAATATATTCCAGAGAGCTGGGACAGTGGCCTTTTGCTTTATAGATGCAAGTTGGTGGCACTTGGGACATGTGGCACATCTGAGGTCACTGAATGGGGCCATGGTGTGACCTGCTGTGCTCAGGCTGGAGCTCCAAAGCATTGCAGCCCTGCCTGAGGCATCTGTGAGGCAACCTGGTAACGTTAGACTCAGCTGAGAGACCCAGGAGAACTTGAATTCTCAAGCAAACACTTGAAGCTTGGTTTATTTTTATTTTATCTCCTTGTGTGCAGATCCAGAATTTTGTAAATGTGATGGTGTTCACAGGGGTTTTTGGATTGGGGAAGAGATGAGGATCTGACTCCATGTTTCAGAAGGCTTGATTTATTATTTTATGATATATATCACATTAAAACTATACTAAAAGAATAGAAGAAAAGGTTTCATCAGAAGGCTAGCTAAGAATAGAAAAGCAAAGAATGATAACAAAGGTTTGTGGCTCGGGCTCTGTGTCTGAGCCAGCTGGCTGTGATTGGCCATTAATTACAAACATCCAACATGGGCCAATCACAGATCCACCTGTTGCATTCCACAGCAGCAGATAACCATTGTTTGCATTTTGTTCTTGAAGCCTCTCAGCTTCTTAAGAGGAAAAATCCTGAAGAAAGGATTTTTCATAAAAGTTGGCTGCAACATGTAAAGATGCATGTCTTGGTTAAAAAAAAAAAAACAAACTGAATTTCTTTGTTGCTTTGCAAATATCAGGACATCTCAAACTCTGCTTTCTGGCTAGTGCCTTTTGCTGTAGGAGGAGAAACAGCACCAGGGAGGGCAGAGGGAAGCGGGGAAGGTGGCAGAGACCTGTGAGAGCAAATCTCTCACAGATGCTGGGGCTGGCCATGGCCTGGTAGTCAGAGGTGGCAGTGGGAAGTTCAGTTCAGCAGCAAAGATTTGAGTTTGGAGTTTTCAGTGGCACCCCAAGTTTGAGTTTTCAGTGTCACTCAGCTCTCCCATGTTGACCCCTCCTGCCCAGCTGGATGTGTTGGCACTGGCTGTGACGCTGACCTGGTGCCCGTGTTGTCCAACAGGCCATCGAGAAAACGCAGAGACCTGGGCTCCGTGGCCAACGCCACCGTGGTGTTCCCCACCATCCCATCCTCCCCCAACAACTCAGCAGCTGAGGGTGCAGAGGAGCAGAAACCCTTTGAGAAGGTGCTGTCCAAGGAGTCGCTGGTGATCTCGGGGCTGCGCCACTTCACCGGGTACCGCATCGAGCTGCACGCCTGCAACCACGATGCCCAGGAGTCCCGCTGCAGCGTGGCAGCCTATGTCAGTGCCAGGACCATGCCAGAAGGTGATTCTGTCCCTCAGCCCCTGGTGGTTCCTCCCAAAATGCTGCTTTTCCCACAGAAGGCAGCTGCAATATGTAAAACAGGGCTGTCCGTATGTCCTGGTGTGTGACGGTGTTCACAGGGGATTTAGGATGAGGGAAGAGATGAGGATTTGACTTTATGTTTCAGAAGGCTGATTTATTATTTTATTATATATATTACATTAAAACTATGCTAAAAGAATAGAAGAAAATGTTTCATCAGAAGGCTGGCTAAGCTAAGAATAAAATCAGAAAGAATGATAACAAAAGCTTCTGTCTTGGACTCTGTGTCCGAGCCAGCTGACTGTGATTGGCCATTAATTAGAAACAACCACATGAGACCAATCACAGATGCACCTGTTGCATTCCACAGCAGCAGATAATCATTGTTTACATTTTGTTCCTGAGGCCTCCCAGCTTCTCAGGAGGAAAAATCCCAAGGAAAGGATTTTTCGTGAAAAGATGTCTGGGACACTGGTGGGAAAGGAGGATGGGTGAGGTGTGAATTTTGCCCAAAGCCATGAAACTAAACCTGATCTTGAACTTGGTTCTAGCTAAAGCTGATGACATCGTTGGCCCAGTGTCCCATGAGCTGGTGGAGAAGAACACTGTGCACCTGAAGTGGCAGGAGCCAAAGGAGCCCAACGGCCTCATCGTGCTCTACGAGGTGAACTACGGGCGCCTTGGGGACACCGAGGTGAGAGTTCTGTCACAGCACCTTTGGTGAGAGGTTCTGGATGCTGCAGGAGCCTCGAGGAACTCACAAGGGAGCACTGGGTGCTGCCGGAGCCCCCAGGAAACTCTCAGGGAGCCTCGGGAGCTATCAGGGAGCCCCCAGAAGCTTTCAGGGAGCCCCGGGTGCTGCAGGAGCCCCCGTGAAAATCTCAGGGAGTCCCCAGGAGCTCTCAGGGGAGTCCAGGGTGCTGCGGAAGCTCCCACAAAACTCTAAGGGAGCTCTGGGTGCTGCAGAAACCCCCAGGAACTGTGAGGGTGCCCCGGGTGCTGCAGGAGCCCCTGGCAGCTGTCAGGGAGCTCTCAGGGAGCCCCGGGTGCTGCAGGAGTTTTGGGGGGCTGTCAGTGAGCCCCGGGAGCTGCCAGGAAACTCTCAGGGAGCCCCGGGAGCTCTCAGCTAGCCCCGGGTGCTGCGGGCCGAGCCTGGCACTGCCCTGTCCCCACAGGAAGCCCATTTCTGCGTGTCCCGCAAGCACTTTGCCAGCGAGGGCGGCTGCCGGCTGCGGGGGCTGCAGCCCGGCAACTACAGCGTGAGGATCAGAGCCACCTCCCTGGCGGGGAACGGCTCCTGGACAGAGCCCACCTACTTCTACGTGGCTGATTACTGTGAGTTCAGTTCATCTGTGGCTTCTGATCCCTGACAGAAACTCGGGTTATTGCTGGAGGATGGGGTGGAGCAAGCAGGGAGTCACTAAATGTTTACCAAATACATCTGTTGTCAAGAACCTGAATTACATGGAAACACATGGCTTTTGTTTGTTAGTCCTCATGCTGACCAGCCCCACATTTTGATGTGAAATTGCTTCTAGTTTTGTATTTGTTCCAATTTATTGAGGGGGGAGATTTTATTGAGGAAAAAGTTTGTATTTTGGACTTGTATAATACCTCCAACTCTCTCTCTTCTCTCCTAGTGAATGCTCAGCCAAATATTGCTGTTATCATTGTTCCTATTATTTTTGCCATAATAATTGCTGGAATTATTGGAGCTGCTTATGTGCTTGTGAAAAAGAGGTGAGTGCACTTTCCTCTTGTTTTCACCATAAACACCAAAATTTACATCCAAAAGTTTTGCTGCTTTGTTGGGAGTCAGTTTTTGTTTGGTTTCTAATTTCCATAGTGATTGCAGCATTAATTTAAGTGCAGGAAATAGTTTGTGCCATATGGGGACAGTTTATTTGCTGCATGCTTTGGGGATTGATCAAACTGCCCTCACCTCAGAGGCTGCAGAGTGCTGAGGATTTTGTGTCTCTTCCAGACAAACTGAAGGACCAACAGGACCCCTGTATGCATCCTCCAACCCTGAGTACATCAGTGCCAGTGATGGTGAGAGCAACCAGGGCTTCTTTGTTGTGTAATCATGCAATCAGTGCAGCACGATGGGCTGGGAGTTGTTTTTGTGGGGTTTTCTGGTCCTTTTGTAGAATTCAGCCCTCCTCAATCTGGCAGCACTACCCAGAGCTGCTGTGAGTGTCTTTCAGAAGATGCTCTGTCACTGATACATTTTATGAAAAATCCTTTTGCTAAAATATTTTCTCCTGAGAAGCCTCAGAAGCAAAATGTAAACAATAATTATCTGCTGCTGTAGAATGCACCAAGTGCATCTTTAATTAATCCATGTAAGTTATTTTTACTTGATAACCAATGACAGCCACCTGTGTTGAAGCTGTGAGCAGTCACAAAATTTCCTTTCCTTTCCTTTCCTTTCCTTTCCTTTCCTTTCCTTTCCTTTCCTTTCCTTTCCTTTCCTTTCCTTTCCTTTCCTTTCCTTTCCTTTCCTTTCCTTTCCTTTCCTTTCCTTTCCTTCCCTTCCCTTCCCTTCCCTTCCCTTCCCTTCCCTTCCCTTCCCTTCCCTTCCCTTCCTTCCCCTTCCCCTTCCCCTTCCCCTTCCCCTTCCCCTGTCCTTCCTTCTGATAAAATCCTTTCTTCTATTCTTTTAGTATAGTTCTAATATATAATTTTCTTTTAACATAACATATAAAATAATAAATCAGCCTTCTAAAACACAAAGTCAGCATTCTCTTCCCCGGTCCTGAGCCCGCTGCAAACAGCCCCACAGTGCTCAGCTCAGGATGTCCCCCTGTGCCCCACAGTTTATGTCCCTGACGAGTGGGAGGTGCCTCGGGACAAGATCACGCTGCTGCGGGAGCTGGGCCAGGGCTCCTTTGGGATGGTCTACGAGGGCATCGCCAAGGACATCGTCAAGGGAGAGCCCGAGACGCGCGTGGCCGTCAAGACGGTGAACGAGTCGGCCAGCCTGCGCGAGCGCATCGAGTTCCTCAACGAGGCCTCCGTGATGAAAGGCTTCAGCTGCCATCATGTGGTAAGTGCTGGGCGCCTCAGCACGCAGCTCTGCAGTGCCTTCTGAGCCCAACCCTCAGCTGGCTTCAGCTGATCCGTCAGAGCTGGGATCTCTCCCTGCTGGATTCCCCATTCTGCCCAAGTCGTTTCACTGCTGCTCTTTTTAAACCTCTCAGCCTGACAAGGCCTGGTTTCACCTCTGTTTGGACACAGCCTCAAGGGAATTTCTCATTCCTTTTCCAGGTTCGCCTCCTGGGAGTGGTCTCCAAGGGACAGCCTACTCTGGTGGTCATGGAGCTGATGGCACATGGGGATCTGAAAAGTTACCTACGCTCTTTGAGGCCTGAAGCTGAGGTAAAGACAGGAGAGAGGGAGTCTGCTGTGGAACAGGGACTTGATTTGTCTTGTGGGCTTAGTTGTGAATTGCAGCCCCGAGATATGTGAATGGGTCAGAGCTCTTCAGTTTTTGGTCTTGAGGTTGTTTATTAATTCTTATCTATAAAATTTTCTTTCTGCTCAGCCAAGGTCTGCTCAGCAGGGCAGCCACAGGCATTCTGACCACCCCCAAGGCAGTGTTGTCTTTTTATACTACAAACTACGTATAACATATTTACAATTACTTTACAATACCTATCACTTATGTTAGACAGTGCACTTCTATTCTAAACCAATCCCAAAGTGCCAACATCACTGCAGAAGTTGGACTGGACACGCCCAAGTCCCTCCATCTTGTCCCCAAAGCCCCCATTCTAAAAATCCTAAAATCTACCTTTTCACCCTGTGATAATTTTATTATTACATTGTTTAAACTTCTGTGGCTTTCAGGTCCTCATACAAAGCTGGTAACTTGCTCCAAGGGTCAAAATCAAATCCCCAGGTGTTCTGAGCTGTGTGCCAGGGTCTCTGAGCCCCCCGGCGGGGTCCCCGGCCACTCTGGACACCCAGAGGGATGCACTGAGTTCTGACAGATTTAGAGTTTAATACTTTTTAATCTAATGACTTTAAGCTGAAAAAGGGTAGATGTGATGTGATTTTGGGAAGACGCTCTTGGCTGTGAGGGCGGGCAGGGCCTGGCACAGGTTGCGCAGAGAAGCTGGAAGTGTCCAAGGCCAGGTTGGAAGGTTGGAGCAGGGTTCCCTGCTCATGACAGGGAGCTGGATGATGTTTAAGGTCACACCTAACCCACACCTTTCTGTGACTGTGATTTTTCCTGGCAGAATAACCCCGGGCGGCCGCCCCCGACGCTGAGGGAGATGATCCAGATGGCGGCGGAGATCGCCGACGGCATGGCCTACCTGAACGCCAAGAAGTTCGTGCACAGGGACCTGGCAGCTCGCAACTGCATGGTGGCAGAGGACTTCACTGTGAAAATTGGGGGTAGGTGCTGCTGGTCCCTCCCAAGCCTGGCCATTCTGTGATCAGGAGATGGTTTTGTGCATTGTGTTTGTTGTAAAAGCAAATTGGTAAAACCAAAGTGTCAAACATGGGTGTTTCTCGCTATCTGCCTTTGGGAAATTGCAGCACTTCCCTCTGTTTCTTCCCTGTGACAGAATTGTGTGGACTTCAATAAGAACAACATTTCCTGTAGAGCCAGAGCAGCTTTTCTCCCCTTCTCTATTCTCCCCTTCTCTATTCTCCCCTTCTCTATTCCCTGTACTTTTAGGACCTCTGTCCCAAAGGTTCATTACCTTTCCAGCTTAAACTACCTGGGTTTGTCTCACTGGTCTTTGCTTCCATGAGAATTAAGACAAAGAAGGAATTGGGTACAACAAACCCACTGCTGATAATCCTGTCATTGGGTCAGGTGGCTTTTAAAAGTAATTTAACCCAGTTTTTAACTCAAACATTTTAGTAATAAGTAAACACAACATTTCAAAATAACTTGGAACCCCACAGTAGGAGATGATTCTGAATCCTGGGAGGATTAAGATATAGACTTCTGGATGGCTGAATAATCAGAAAAGGTGCTGGTATAGAACAGGGTGTCCTCCCCCTGCAGGGTCGAAGAATGTGCTGTTAAGATTACGGTGATTTTATGTGGTGATTTTTTTATGTGGTGATTTTTCAGAGCTCTCTGGAGTTAAAGCCAGGGCAGTGGGATTTCAGACAAAGGGAGCTCTGTTTTACTTAGAGAGGATGAATAAAATAATGTTTAGAATAGAAGCTGTCACCAAGAAATTTAACTCTGGAGTCTCTGTTGTGACTCCGTAGAAAAAAAATGCAGGAAAAGGGAAATGTTTTGACCATTGATCACGAGCTGACAGATGACTGCAGGCTGGGCTTTGGCAGCGGGGGGAAGGCAGCATCCATCTGGAGATGCTGCACAGGAGAAGCAGGATGGAGGGAGAGGAGGAGTTTAACACATCCCAATTGCTTCCCTCAGACTTTGGGATGACCAGGGACATCTACGAGACGGATTATTACCGCAAGGGGGGCAAGGGGCTGCTGCCCGTGCGCTGGATGGCCCCCGAGTCGCTCAAGGACGGGGTGTTCACCACCTACTCCGACGTGTGGTAAGTTGTCCTCTGCCATCCCAGATGCATTCCAGCTCAGGAGCTCCTTGTTTTAGTTTAAACTGACTTGCTCAGAGCACAGACAAAACAAAGCCGTTGTTTTGAAACACTTCCATGAAAATATAGCCGTGTTGTTTAGAAGTTCATTTTCCAAAATAACTCCAGGATGTTTTGTTCTCACCAGGAGATTTCTCTCTCCCTTAGGTCATTTGGTGTTGTCCTTTGGGAAATAAGCAGCTTGGCAGAGCAGCCGTACCAGGGACTCTCCAACGAGCAGGTGCTGAAGTTTGTCATGGATGGAGGATACCTGGATCAGCCAGACAACTGCCCTGAGAGGCTGTAAGTGCCAAGCAGGGACAGCCAGCCCAGCTGCACTCTTTGCCTGGAGTGTGGCCCACAAAGATGGCCTCACCTGGGGCTCCTCTTAACCCTCCTTGACTGGGGAAGACAAAACCAGACTTTAGTGAGGCATCTCCCACCTCACCAAAGAAATTCCACCAAAGTATCCTTAGTGATCCAAGGAAGGGGCTGCCCAGGGAAGTTTGGAGTCCCCATCCCTGGAGGTGTCCAAGGAAGGCCTGGATGTGGCACTCAGTGCTCTGGGCTGGGGACAAGGTAGGGGTGGATGAAAGGTTGGACTTGATGATCTTGGGAGGTCTTTTCCAACCTCAGTGATCCTGGGATTCTGTGTGAGGAGTCACACTGGAGCAATTGTGAGGGAAAGCAGCTCTGGCTGGGAAAGGGAGCACAGATGGTAACTCTCTGGTTCTGGTAGCCTCTTCCCCCAGCTGCTTCTGGCCAAAACAGCACTTCCAAAGTAATAAAATAAACATGTTTTGTGAGTATCCCTATGAAAACAGCCTGCTGTGCAGGACATTTGTCTGATGGCCAGTTACAAGCTCCAGTTTGAGACTCTATTTGTATTTGTGAGTTGTTTCTCCATGGTGTCTGATAACGTGACCTCTTGCTGCAGGCCTTTCTTTTGGGTGGGATGTTTACAGGACCTCTGTCCTCTGCCCAGCCTCCCATTTTCCTTGAAGTTTTGGGAGCTTTGTTATCTTTCAGGCTGAGTTAAAATTAAAAGGGAATTAATTAAAAAAGGATGACCTGGCTGTAAGTGCGTGCGCACACACACACACACACACACACACACACACACACACACAGTCTGTGAACCACAGCCCTGTTTCCTTCAGCAGCCAAGTTCAGAACAATTGAAGGAATCGGAAGGAATTTTTAATGCAGACAGAAATAGAGAAAAAGGAGTGTCAGGATCCACAGGCAGATGTGGAGGCTGGAAAGAGAACAAACAACCTGGGGTGTCAGAGGAGTGGTGTGGGTGGAGGGGGGTCTGCCATGGGTGCCAGGCTTGCTGTGCACATGGGATTGTTTGTGCTGCCCTGACTGTGCTCTGTGCTGCTGCAGGCACAGCCTGATGCAGATGTGCTGGCAGTACAACCCCAAGATGCGCCCCACCTTCATCGAGATCATCGAGATGCTGAAGGAGGACTTGCACCCCAGCTTCCACGAGGTCTCCTTCTTCTACAGCGAGGAGAACAAACCTCTGGAGACCGAGGAGTACGAGATGGACTTCGAGAACATGGAGAGCATTCCCCTCGACCCCTCCTCGTACTCCCAGAGGGACAAAGCGCTGGGGAGGGACAATGGACCCTCCATGGCCCTCAAGGGCAACTACGAGGAGCACATCCCTTACACTCACATGAACGGTGGCAAGAAAAACGGGCGGATTCTCTCCATGCCCAGGTCAAGTCCTTCCTAACACTTCCTGTTTGGCCCAAGGGTTGTGTCTGCTTTTTCCTCCCCCCCTCCACAAATCTCAGGACTCTTGTTATTGCTGCCACAGTGTATGACACACATCTACAAACTCTTCAGATTTTTAATCATCTTACAATGAGGTTTTTTTTTTTTTTTTGCCAAGTTGACTGGTTGTCAGTGGACTTATCTGTGAACATAAATGGAAGAGGTTTCCATGGCTGCTGTCCCTTCTGTAACCATGGTTTCACAACAGGAAGCGACTGTGTGAGTTCAACTGAAGGAGAAGCGTCCGCGTTTGCCAGCAGAAGACGTGAAGTTCTCTGGTGCCTGAGCTCCAGCCCAGCAGCGCGGAACAAGAGATTTCCAGTAGAATTCCAGGCTTTTCAGGCAGCCTCTCCACTACAGCTGAAGGATTCAGCACATCAGTCAGATCCTCAGATTGACCAATAGCTGCTGCTTTCATACTTTGTTTTTTTTCAAGGGGTGGAAGCCCCGGGGTGCGTGCGTGGGCGTGTGTGTGTGCGTGTGTGCAGTATCAACATGTGGGGTGTACCCGATAGCAAAAGAGACATTTCTGGTTTTGTACACAACTTACAGCGCTTTCAGGCACTTGGTGGGATTCTCGGGGTGTCCTGCACAGGGCCAGGAGTTGGATTTGATGATCCCGGTGGGTCCTTTCCAACTCAGCATACTCTATGATTCTCTGTTCTCACAGGAGCTTTCCTCTTCTTGGAAGTGTGTACTTATCTTTTTTCCCCATTTCCCTGGAGGGACTGAATCCTAAACAGATTATTTTTATACTGAGGACTCTTGAGAGCAGGTTTTCTCTCATTAACAAATGAGGAGAACGTGCTGGGAGCTAAATGAGCAGAACTCTGAGATTTGTGGGTACTTTCAAGACCAAACGAAGTAGGAGTCCCCTGACCTGAGACACGGAGTTTTCTGTCCTTGCAACATTGAGTATATATATTGTTTGTTGTAACATATTTAAAGATGTCTTTAGTTTAAATTTTAACTTCATATAAATTATTGACTGTTTATGATCCTTTTGGGGCGGGGAGAGTTTTTGGGGGATTGTTTGGTCTTAAAGTGGTCCAAAGATTTCAGAATGAACTAATTTTAGCCTTGCAGGAGCGATGAAGCACATGTTCAGTTCAAACTTGACAAGGCTTTGTAATAGTTTCATGATTTATACAACACAGTCAGCTGGCTCCAGTCGAAGCCCCATCTTGGGTGTTGGGAGCTGAAGGACACAGAACATCCTGGCCTTGAGTCCTGCTCCTCCTCTGCCCCGCGTCCCTCGCTTTGCCTTCACGCCACAGCTGCAGCCGGCGAGAGAGGACGAGCACGAGCTGGAGCTGAGGAAGGGACACTGAAGGAGAGAAGCACGAAGCTCTGGGCTCTGCACCCTGGAGGTGACTGTGGTTTGCTGCCTCTGCTGCTGCCAGCCCTCTCCAGCCTTGTGTTCCCCGAGATTCCCACTGCAGAACTCCTGGGATGTCAGCGCTCGCCGTCGGGACTGTGCTTTGTCGTGCTGGTGTTGAAGAATAATGGTGAAACTCAACCAGGGCTGGTAGCATGGAGCTGACAGGAGCAGGGGAGGAAGATGATGGATGTCGCAGGCCCGTGGCATGCAGGAGGTGCTGAGAGACGCTCAGTCCTTCACTTCTCCTCCTGGAGAAGTCCTGGATGTGTTTTGTGCTCTCTGCCAGGACAAAGCGAGGTGCCCTGGCTCGGGAGGGCTGGGCTGGGCAGTGCCTCCAGCCCGGGCAGTGCTGCTGCTGTGAGCGAGGCAGAGGGGCTGCAGTCCATGGGGATGCAGCTGGTGCTGGGAACCTCTGCCCCCAGCTGCTTCTGGCCAAAACAGCACTTCCAGAGTCGTAAAAGGGGGCACAACAGACTGGGCAGCACCGGGAGCTGTTGGGCCCTTTGCTGCTGGAGGCTGATGGGTTTGGCCCAGGTGGAGGGTACAGGCTGCTCCACAAATTTGGGTGGAAAACACAGTCCAGACATGGGTGAGAACCTTTGGATTTCAAAAGGCCTCGTTTACATTTCTTCTGCTTTACAAAGTTGTAACTGTTTAGCAGCTCTATACTACACTGCAGGAAAGAAGACATATTCTCACACTTTTCTAAGGAAGAGAAGTTTTTCTTATTAGAATTTTTTATTTATTTTAATATATAAAACACTGTAAAAAAAAAAAGCAACAAACAATTAGTTTTCTTAAACACACAGAACATGTAAATTTGTATCCGCAAAATCTTGGCAGGTGGATGTGGTGGGATTATTTTTGTCCTGTTCTGGTGCAGTCTACCTCAGTGTTTCTTAAGGATATTTTTTAATACTACACACCTCTAAACCTGTTTAAATATTCTGGTCTGGACCTATTGTGGATCAGGGAAAATCAGTATCAGCTGATTCCAATACCAGGGACCATTCATGAAGGGAATGGGAAGGAGAATGGCCCATCACTGTTGATCCCTAATCTGAACAGTAGTGGCCAATGAACCCATTTACAAATTTGGATCTGATCTCATCCCTTAGTTCTGTTGTGATTAAAAAAAAAAGAAAAAAAAAAAGAAAAAAAAAAAAGAAAAAAAGATCCATTTAAATGTTTGGACTTTAGTGAACTCATGACCTAAAAGGAGCAGGCTGCTTCCTCCTGGATCAGCATGTGCCAGCATGGAGCAGGGACTGGGACCAGCCCTTGCTGTTGGGGTGGCATTGGGGTGGCTTGGTCACTGCTCTTCTTGCTGTGCACAGGTGACCCAAGGTCCTGCCAGTGACCTCCTGAAACAAACCTTTCCCAGCACACCCTTGCTTTGATACCATTTCCAAGGGCAGTGATCATAACTGTGGGAATAGAAGAACTTTAACCTGAAGGAACATTGGAACCTTGTATTGGTGAGGCTTTTCCTCGCGGTTGATACTGGTTGGCCCTGTGAGTACACATGGTTTGAACACTCGGATGGCTGAGCCAGGGAATGTGTGCTGCTCCATGGACAGGCAGTCCCCTCCCATGGCTCAGTGTCACCTTCACCCTGCACCAAACGGAGCAGTTGTTTTTACCCAGCACTGTGTGAAGGTCACTCATCCTTCCTACCTTGTGCCCAGGGGAGGGAAGGCGTGTGGTACCGGTGGGGAGGGTATGGTGTTTCTCCTCTGTAAAACAAATAACACTAGTGGTTGCTGCTCGTGGCTGCTACAGATCACATTCAGCTGTAGAGTTAAGAAGAATAAATGAACATCACCCACAAAGCCCAGCTCTCACTGCTAGAAAATCCTTCCTTGGCTCACAGCCGACACTTCAGTCTCTGCTGCTGGAAGATCCTCGTCCCAGGGATGCCCAAATGCCTCACTTGGATCTCGCTGATTCCTGCTCAGAGAATTCCTGCAAGTGAAGACTCAAGTGCTATTGAAACCTCTGGGGTGCTGCCAGGGACCCCAGCCTGGGCACGGGGGGCTGTGCTGAGCCTTCCTTGGGGGAGCTGCTGCTCTTTGCTCCGGCCACATCCTTATGGGGCAGGATTCCCCAGCTGCAGTGGAAGCTCCACACTTGCTGCTCCTGCTGCTGCTTAGGAGGAACCAAACACTGGTGCAGGAGAGCAGGTGGGATGGCTGGAGGAGGGCAGCCAGCAGTGGGAAGCTCTTTCTTTCCTTGCATTAATATTTGTTGGAGGGTTGGCTCCTGCCCTTTGTGGCCAGAGAATGCTCCACTCACAGCATGAGACCCCGCAGCCTGTCCAGGAGCACCTGGAGCCTCCTGGGCACACTCTGGCACCACCACATAGCCAGAAATTCACTCTGGTGGATCAGGAGGAGCAAGAAGCTGAGCTCTGCTGAGCTTTCACTGAGAAAATGCCTGAAGTGTGAGGCTGGAGAGGTTTCTCAGAAAGGTTTCCACATTAAACTCAATTGCCACTTCCTGAACGGCTCTTGCCAATCTGGAACTTCTCTGGCAGGCCAGCACAGCACTGCAAAGCTTGGCTGCTGGGTTAGGAACGTGTCTGTCTTGGCTGCTTGTAAATACTCTATTGTGTTGTAAAATAGAAGAGCTCAGACATAAACTCTGTGCCAGCACTGGGTTGGGAAAGGTGATGGGAACTAGACCACGCTGCAGCGATGATGGTAAAGCAGCTGTGTGGGTATCAAGAGGCTGCTTTTAGGTTGCTAAAGGGTACTCTTAATTTATGGGTAGTTTATCTCTTTCCTCCTAAATTTGTATTATAGCGATGGGACACTGCTTAATTTTAGTCTGTTGGCTATAGTGTTGGTATCTCTTTGGAAAAAAAAAATCTCAAAAGTTGCTTCTTGTGTTACTGAGCTGATTGTGCTGAAGGCAAATAGGAAATGACAGGAGGGAGAAGGGTGCTGAGCCTCTGCTTTAGAGGAGGGAGGGAGGGAGGCAGTCGAGTTCCCTCTCAAAACCACTGTGACACAAAGACGGACCCTGAGGTGTCCTGGGCCCTTCCCGCTACCAAGACTGGAACCTTGTTTGACAAGCCAGAACGTGAAATATCTTTGTGCCATAAAACCTTACTGTCAAGGCTGTGCCAGGTGCTCCCATGATCCGTGTGGGATGGGCTCAGAGCCTGGAGGGAGCTCAGAACTGCAGATGAACCCTGAGATCCTCTCGGAGCCCCGGCCCTGCCCAAGGAGCCGCCGCCCCTCGGAGTGTCCTGTGGTCCAGGGACAGGAACTGCTCAATGGGTTGGAATCAAGAAATAGTTACTTCGTGAAATTCAACGTAAGATTAGTTTGGTATTTGTATGAACTTTATGGAATTTGGCCTTTTTATTACCTTCTGCTTGGCTCTGTGTTCCCTCTGCTTGGATTCTGTCCGTGAGTGTCGGTGTAAAGCCTTGACGTGTTCAGCCTCGTTAGGAGCATCACAAGAGTGAAGCCAATCATCCAGCTGACTTTTGGAGGAACCTGACTGTTGAAAAGCAACTCTAAAGTTAACCATTTTTAGCAAATCTGCTGTCATTAAATGTGTATTTCTTTTTAAAATGCATTTGCTTGTCCTACTCAGAAGGAAGCACTTATTCTTGCAGTTTGGGCAAATTCACTGCAGCACAATGCAAGCTGTAAGGGGACAGGTAGAGAAATGACTTTTTAAATATTGTATAATAAAGTTAGTATTAACTCCTATGGTGTTGTTACTTTTTTGCCAATAGATTTGCAATCAGCCAGAAATTCTGTTCCTGGTAGTGGTTTTGTGCCCACTCCAGTGTTCCAACTGGTGGTGTTAAATAGTCTCATTTCCCAGCCCAGAAAGATCCCTTGGGAACAGGGTCTGGTGGCTGGGAGGACCTGGAATAGTCCTGGCAGCTAAAGAGGAGCCATCAGTGGAGGTTAAATATGGGCTCTTGCTTAGCTGAGCCCCTGGTCAGTCCCAGCAGCACCAGTAAATCCTGAGCTGAGGGCTCTTTACCTGAGAGCTCTGAGCTGGGCTCAACACCAAAGCTCTGTAAATCCAGACTCTCCCAGCAGCATTCCAACGCTTCCACCATCCCCATTTCCAAGTCTTTCCCTTAATCATGTCCCATGAAAACTGATGGAGAATTTTAGAAAGGCCACTTGTAAATCTGCAGAGGTAGAGTGTTGTTTGAGCAGGAAAAGCATTACCTTTTGCTTTAGTTAGGGGAATGTTTTTATTCTTGAGGTATCAAAACTGGTTTGTATTTGAGGACCCTCAAGGATGGGGGAACTGGACATCAGCTTCATCCAACACAGCCCAAAGCAAACACTCTCTGCTTCACTTAAATAAACCACAGATGGTTTCAGTTACATGTTAGGTGATGTTCTGTGAAGTCTTGAGGTTTTTATTTTTTTCCCCAGTTCATTCTTGCTGCTCCCACCTTTCTCTCTGCGTATCTAAGGTTCCAGAAAACAAATAGTACTGCGGATACCTCTTGTTTGAAATAAAGGATCAAATGTGCCATGATTTTTTTTAAAAAGGAAGAAAAAAGAGAAAAACCTTCCCCCTTGATTTATTTTTTCAGTGTTTTCATATCTAAGAGCCAAGCAGTGACATGTACAGAAAATCTTTGAATAGTAAAAAAAAATCCTTGCCGTGTGTCGGAATATTGAACAATTAACTGTTTATATTAAAATTCTGAATAAATTATCCAAGAATAACTGTTCATTTTGCGTCTGCTGTCTGTGCAGCACTGAAGGCTGCTTTGCTGTGGAGAAAGCACTAAATTCATACCTTGGAATAAGCTGCAAAATAAATGGTGTTAAGGAAAAAACCAAAACCCACAGCTCAACCAACTGTAGGCTTGTAGTGTGAAGGCAGTGGAACTGCTCTACCTGATGGCTCTGGTGATCCCTGTGCTCACCTTGGGACTCTGGGTGATGCCTTTGATGCCATCAGGTGAACTTTGATGCCAGGATTCCTTCTGGAGCACGGAGAGCTGAGACTCTGTGATGTAATTTGTTATTTCCTGGGCGCGGAGCAGGTGCTCCCTCCTCGGAGGGAACAGACTCCTCCCTCCCTGCCGGTTTTAAAGCATCAAAGGCAGAGAGAGGATCGGCCCCACCCTGTCCTGTGGTGGAGCTGCTCTAACTGGGTGTGCCCCAGGAGCCTCCTGTCCTGCCCAGGCCCCTCTGGGGGTGTTTCTGACTTAAACCTGGTTTTATTTCACCAGAGCCAAGATTTCTCTCCTGGTGGGTGAGGTGAGGGCTGTCCCTTCCTGTCAGGGAGTTGTGCAGAGCCTGATGATCCCCTTGAGCCTCTATTTCTCCAGGCTGAGCCCCTTTCCCAGCTCCCCCACAGGACTGACTCTCCAGTCCCCTCCCCAGCTCTTTTCCCTTCTCTGGACACCTCCAGCCCCTCCATGTCTCCAGTGAGAGGCCCAGAACTGGACATAACACTCAAGGCCCCACCAGTGCCATTTTTTTTTCCTAAGCCTATCCAGGATTCTCTCACTGTGAGAATGATCATAAACAAACTGGTATTTTAAGATGTTTCGGAGTTGTTTCTTCTGGCACAGGCTTGTTCTCTGGGGATCCTAAAATGCAAAAATAAACAAAGCCACAAAACTTGAACTTGCTGTCCCGGGAGGTTTGCTTCCCACTGGGCTCTCTGGGATGCTGTGGGGAGGCTGCTGAGGCTCAGACTGCCCTTGTGCCATTATCCCTCATCACTCTTCCAGGCTGCCTGCTCAGCTCAGCTTTGGCACCCCCCAGGCTGTGTCAGACACGTGGCAGGAGGGAAAGAGCTCTTGTCCTTGTTTGAGCCAAGGACAACTCACCATCCCATCAGCCAGAGCAGCTGCCTGGTGTTTAGGAGCTGCCCTGATCTCTGATGCTCATCGAGCTCTTGTGGACTTCAGAGAAATTAAACCTTAATTCCTCTTTGCTCTTGTGGTTTCCTGGAGCACAGGGTAATTGCTATTCTAAATGCTGCCAAAGCTGCGGTCTCTGAGTAATTGGAGTGTGAGTGGTTCTTGTTCTGATTAGGGTTTGGCTGGGGCTGATGAGTGCTCGGGGCTCTGGGATGAGGAGCGTGTGTGCCTCAGCCCACGGGGCTCGTTGGGAAGGAGGGAATGGCTGTGCCAACAAACCCGAGCCTGGACGTGCCAGGGGCTCTGTCTGCTGGCCAAGAGCAGGGCAGGGGCTCTGCTTGGAGCTGAAGCCTTTGTCTCTGTCCTGTGCAGGTGAATATGGTTAGTACAGGCATTTCTGTAATGTTGCCATCACTTCACCCTGTGTAAAACAAACCTGCTGGGCTTTGTGGTCCCTGTTGCTCCACAAGGTCAAACCATGACAGCAAAGACCAGGGGCTCGTTAAGAGGAGCCCTGTGTAGGAGGCTAATGAGCCATGGTGCAAGGAGCCCATGGGCTGGGCTGAGTGTGTGGGGTTCTCAGGGCACACACAGCGGTTTTTCCCCGAAGGGAACAGGAAGCTGTTGCCTCAATAGCTGCTCCTCGCAGCCATCGTGACTTAGGGCTGCCAGGGCCCTGCAGCGGCTGCCTCAGGGTCCAGAGCCCTCCTGGTGGCTTTGCTGGACCCTTGCAGAGCCCGGAGCCCTGTGAGGGTGGGTTAAGCAGCACTGGGGCACGGCGGTGGGAAGGGCAGCATGGGAGAGGTGGGTTTGTTTGTGCTCTCAGAAAGGGGAAGCGGTGAGAGGGCTGAGCCAGCGGCCCCCGTGAGCAAACCGCCCTCATGGCCGCTGCTTCCCCCGTGAGGCTCCGCTTCTCGCTCTGCTCCAGCGGCTGCAGGAGAAGCCACGGCTGTCAGATGTGATGATCCTGCACGAGGAACCCGCCACAGAGATGCCTCCAGCCCTCAGGGTAAGTGGCTCTGTGCACAAGCTCCATCTCACAGCAGCGGGGTTGTCACTCACCTTCCTCAAGGCCTTGTGAGGAAGCAGCTTGTCGTGAAGCCAAAAGTCCCAGGACTGGGTTTGGTGCAGCTTCAGTGCAAAACATGGGCTGGGGAGGCTCAGCTGCACGGGGTTTTGCTCTGCTGTGAGTGAAGAGGAGGAGATGAGGTCAGGGTTTAACCCCCAGGTGCCATCATGGTGGGCTCTGCAGCAGTGCTGGGCTGGCTGGGCACCCTCTGGGTGCTGCTCTTGGCTCCTGCTGCTCCTGTGCCACGGCTGAATGTTTGCAAAGATGCCCTGGCACTGCCCACAGCTGGGTTTGGGCTGTGCACAAGAGGGGTCCAAGCCCAGGACCCCCAAATTCCACTCTGGACTGGGCTGGTCCCCAGTGTTATCAGGGAGATGGAAGCACAGGGGACGTAGACAGGGCTGTACTGGACAGGTGACACTTCGGGGTTTGTGGCCAGGCAAGAAAAATGCTTTTTGACACCTGCTTTTGGGCATCACCAGCCCAGCCTGGGCTTCAAGCTGTGGAGGTACCTGTGGCCATTCCCAAACTGGCTGGGCTCTGCTCAGTGAGGCCACAGGGAGGAGTTTTGGTCTGGCCCCAGAGACCAGCATCTGCACTGGGGTAAAACCTGGCTTCTTCAGCCTAACTGAGGGGTTGGGAGCAAAGTTTGGAGACTGGGATGTGGGACTGGTGACAACTGGGAGCAGTGGGTTTGGAGGGTAGGGAATTGGGTCTATTGGGGCAGTTTGGGATTTGTCCCACCTTCTTCCCTCAGGGAGAGCTGAGGAGGGCTTGGAGAAATGCCCTTGCCAGGGACTGGGACTTGCTGTGAGCTGCAGGATGATGCTGATATTGAGGATAGACAGGATGTCTTGCAGTTCCTTGCAGAGGCTCTGCCACAGCACTCGAAAATGAGAAAAAAGTGTAAATAATGAATCTTCATAAATGTCTTGTAAAGACACCAAGCCTTGTCAGTATCGACTCTGACCCTTCACTGAAGGTGAAAGTGACCCTTAGCCAGGTGAGAAGTGCCTGAAAGTGCTCACAAAGTGTCTGTCATGCTCGCAGCCGTGAATGGAGCAGGGAGGTTTTGGCAGAGGGGCTGTGCTGTGTTAACAGCTTGTTTTCTGTTTCTGTCTGCAAGCCTCGAGCAGCACTCGGGGGGCTGCGTGTGCCCCGAGGCCACTAATCCCCAGGCCCAGCTGCAGGAAGTCCCTGACCTGCCACACAGGTGGGAATGCCAGGGACCAGGAATGTCTCTCTGGCTACAGCTTCCATCAGCTGATACTTCTGACAAAACACTTGGCTCCTCCGCTCCCCCCTTGGCAGCCCCTGGGCTGCAGCCTGCAGCGCTGCCTTAGAGCGCGCTGAGCTCTGCCGTGCTCCGTGCCGGCGTCTCCTGCTCGGGGCTGGACCTTGCCCGGGGCTCCCAAATGTCAGACTCGCTGCTCAACCACTCCTGGCCATCGTTTTCCAAGCGCTGGAAGAAGAGATTGTCCTTTAAGCGAGGTAATGGCCTGTGGGGACAGGGGGCTGAGGGGGCTGTGGCAGGGACAGCTTGTCCCGGACTGAGCAGGTACCAAAGAACCCCAGGGGCACAGGCAGAGCTTGTCTGGAGGTGCCCCCCGCTTATCTCTGCAGGGGGCACTGCCTTAAGCGGTGATTAACACTTTTCCTTGCATTTAATCTTCTTTTCAAGGCACATAACTGCCTCCAGGAGCTGGGTAATGGGTTAAATATCAGCCTTTTGGTTTTGCAATAAGTTTGTTTCGTGGCTGGCAGTGAGCTGGATGTCCCGGTGCTTGCAGACAGCTGTCTCTGCATGCTGCCTGGCCAGAGTTTGGTGTTTGAGCAGATGTGGGGGAAAAGACTCCTTCAGTCTTTCAGTGAGCCTCAGTGTCCGGAGCCCTGGCGGTTTGGGTGGCCCTGGCTGGGCTTCGCTGTGTCCAGCAGCAGGGCTGGGAAATGGCAGCAACTGGTGTCAGCTGGCCTCATTTCTGCATGTGGTGCCGTGACTTGGAAAGAGGGAAGTGAGAGCCCCAGGAAGCAGGACATTTGCAGTCCTGGAGGAGCCAGACACTTGTGTGAGCAAACACTGCCTTCAGGCTGATGCTTTTGGGTACCTTTACCTGCAGCATCAGAGCTCCTGCTCCTCTTTCTCCTTCGTTATTCCCCACCCATTCCCAGTTCTCTTCTGGTGTGGATGTGCAGGAGACCAAGATCCAAACTGAACAGTTTGGGGAAGGTTAATTCAGAGCAGGACACGGAGTCCTGCAGGCTCTGATGTGTGGTGAGCCCCAAAGCCCAGCTGGGTGCCCCACTCCAGCCATGCCTGCTGGGGGGGTTCTGGGCTGGCTGGGATCACTCAGGTGAGCTGATTTAACTAACAAATGAATCAGCCTCACCGTGCTCCCAAGCACTGAGTGCTTTGCAGACAGCCTGGGTGCAGCCAGCTCCCTTCAGCAGGTGCTTGCAGAGCAGTTTGAACTGTTGGGGTTTGTGCTTGGGCACAAAATGCTCAGGTCTCACTCTGCCCCTCTCCCACACTGATGTTCTGTAGTGTGGCACTCGCTGGTCCACGTGGGCCCTTCCCTCGGTGCCCCTGAGGCAGCTGCAGGAACCTGCCCAGTGACCTGGAGGGAATCAGAGGGGCTGCAAACCCCTCAGCCCTGCTGAGAGACAGCAGGGAACTGTCCCAGCCCCCTGCTCCTCTGCCCTCCGTGCCCAAGAGCCTGGCCCCAGCAGTGTGGTGATAAGGCAGTGGCTCTGTACAGTGTGTTACAGTGTGGGACAGCTTATCTCCCCCTGCTCCTGCCCAGAGCCAATCCCACAGCTGCCAGGGCGGCCCAGGAGGGGCCCACACCAGGCAGGGGCTGCACTTCAGCCCATCTTGGCACAGGGAGTTCAGCACTTGCTTTCCAGAGGTTTTTCTCTACAGCTCTGCACCCCCTGCAACAAGATACGTGAAGGGCAGCTGGTGCAGGGCCAGGAGGGCAGGGGTGGGTCAGGGGAAGATGGAATCATTTTTATTTCATGTCTGTGATGCTCTCCATGGTTTCCCAACAGTCTCTATCCCTGACTGCTGGGAAATGCCCAGACATTCTTGTCTTTCCTTCCTCCTGGGATTGTTTCAGGGAGCAGAACTGCCCAGTGCCTTTGTCCTGCCACGTTTGGTGTGGTCTCTCCCCAGTGGGAATGCAGACAGTGTTTGATGTTGCAGGATGTGACTGGTGTGGCCAGGGCTCACATCCATGTTTTCCTCCACCGCGTCCCCTCCCAGCGCCAGCCTGGCTCCAGGGTCACTCGGGGACATGCAGCATCCTGCGCCAAGCCAAGGGACAGGCAGGTGAGGGTGGGACACTGCTGGCAGGGCTTGTTCCAGTGCTGGCTGCCCTGGTGCTGTCACACTGCCCTGCTGTGACACTTGTGGAGTGACCAGCCTGTCTGAGGGAAATCAGCACAGCCAGCTGCAGGAGGGAGGGTTTGACCAGAGGTCTGAATTGGAATGATGAAAATCTCTGTTGGGATCCCAGTGGCCTTGGGCACGGTTAGAACAGCATGAAGCCTTCTTCCTTGAGCCAGAGCAGCTCAGCCAGCTGATCCTGCTGTCCCCACAGCACCAAACCCCCTGAGACCATCCCAGAGTGTCACATGCCGTGGATGCCTGTCACTGCTTCCTTCCTCCCCACACAGCAGCCCAGAGTCATCATGTTTCACCCGTGGGAAGCTCTGGCAAAGTGCAGGAACCATCCCAGCCCAGCAAGCGATGCTTCCTCTCCAGCTCTGCCCTGGGAATTCCTCTGAGGAGGCTGCTCCCTGCAGCAATAACCTTTTATGGTTTCCACCCAGAGACGAATTAAGCAACTGCAATACCTAATCTGCTTAATGTTCTCCTAAAGCAAACAGCATTTGTTCTTGAAAGTGTCATTTTGTTATCCCATCTCCAGCTTCAGCTGAGGAAAGGTGACTGCTGCTGTCTGCCAGAGCCTGGGGGGCCAACATTCCCTGTCCCCTTGCCACCATGCTGGAGCCTGGCTCCTTCCAGACAGATTCAAGGGTGGAGTATGAGAGACTCAAGGTGCTCCAGAGTTTGCCACACTTGCTGACACATTGGCGACCACCTTGACCATAGATGTGGGGATGTTCACAGCCCCCCAGCCCTGCCTCCCTCCTATGTGCTCTCCACGCTCGACTCAAGGTGCTCCACAGTTTGCAACATCTGCTTGCACACTGGCGACCACCTTGATCATTGATGTGGGGATGTCCACAGCCCCCCAGCCCTGTCTCCTTCCTGTGTGCGCTCCATGCTCGAGCTTCCTCACCCACCATCCCACAACCCGACACCTGGAGGCATTTCTCCTCCATCACCCCCTTGCCCACGCAGGGTGCCAGCCCAGCCTGTGAAGAGGGAGCCCAGCAGTGCCTGGTGCTCACACATTGCCTAAAATGGTGTCCCCACGCTGCCCCGACCCCGCGCTCGCGGCGCCGCTGATTTATCGCGTGTTGAACCGAGTGTCTGAAGCCTCCGAGCAGGATTTAAGTCCTTTGGTGGGTCTGGACCGGGTCTGTTGACTGCAGCCCAGGCCTTGGCCAAATCCTGAGCCCTGCATGGCACAGGCAGAGCTCAGGGAATGTTTTCCAGGCCTCCGAGGAGCTGACTCTGTTCCAGGGATCCACTTTAGGGCTGCACGGAGCTTGGTGCTGGCCCAGAGTAGCCTTGGCGGGATGGCTGGACACTGCTTGGGAGGAAAAAACTCCTTGTTTTAGTTAAACCTTCAGTCCAGGCCTCTGGCCTGTGTCAGGCCACAGCCCTTGTCAGCTCCTGCTGCCTCCCAGGGCTTTGCTGCTCTCCCTGTGGGTAGCTCACTGCTGAAGGGATGGCGAGAGCAGGGAATCTCCTTTTTCTTCCTTCCTTGGATTTGTATGAGGGGAAGCACCCTCTGTCCTGGCCTCCCTGGGATGTTCCCCACCTCCTGGTTGCTCTCCATGGGTTCATTCTACCTTAGCCATCATCCCAGCCTGTTAGGGGGCTTCAGTGGTTTTCACTGTCTGCTGAGAGTTTTGACTGCTGTTTCCTACAAGCTCATGCCAAAATCTGTTCTGGCTCAAGGGTGTATTAACTTCAAAATCCTGATTTTAGATTGCAAGCTGAATCCAGGTGCACTGAAGAAAGCAAAAGGTGATGTTTAATAGCTCACTAAATCTCTGCCAGTTGCAGATGCAGCTCAGGGATATCCTGGGCAAGAATTGGTCTATTCATTAAAAAATGTCATGTGAAGTAAATTTTACAGCCTTGCTAGAAAGCCTGTTTCAAATTTTCCCTGGTCTTGTAGCTAGAAACCCGTAAATTAAAATAGTGCCTTCAGAAGTGTTTTCTTTCTATATTATTTATAGTCCTTCACTTGAAACCATCACACACATTTGAACACACCAAATGCTCCTTAAAACAGAAAATCTGGCATCTGCAGTGTGCAGCAAGATCCAAGGAACAAACCTCCAAACTCTCCCTCACGTTTGCTGCCTTTTTTTAGTTGGCACCATGCAATTCCTGGCTGAATTGTGTAGCTTTATAATCCACAGCAGGATGCAAGCCTTCCAAGAGTGTGTTTTTTAACAATGTCTTCCTTACATTAATGTTTTTATGCTGGATTTTCCTGGAGTGTGATGGGTTTCTAGCAGTTTCCTGCTGGTTTTTCCCATTGGATAGATATGGCTGCTTACAGTCTCTTGCTGTTCTCTGCTTCTTCAGAGATCCACCACAGTGCTTCAGCCAACAGCCTGGCTTTTTTCCCTCTGCCTCAGCCTTTTGCCTCAGCTGTGTGTGTCTCCAAGGGATAAAAGGGCTCCATGAGTAATGCAATGGTTCAGGGATTGTGGCTAAGGTTTACAGAGTGTCTCGCTCCACAGGAATGTGCTTCAGTCAGCTGCACCATCTATTGTACCACAAACACATCCAGGCCTTGGTTTGTTTCTCAGTGAGTTATCAGATGGAATATGGACATGCAGGTTCACACTCCTGCCTGGGGAAAATCCAGAGGAGTGATCCAGAACCAGGAGAATGATGTGCTTCTGGTATTACTCTGCATATTCAGTGTCGTCTGGAGCCACCAATTTGCCTCCCAGTATCCTTTATTACCCACCCAGGAGTCCTTTATTCCTTACAGATGAAAATAAAACTTCTGTGAGTATTTTTATTCCTAGATTTCTGATTCAAAGGTCCATAATGTCAATAACAGACATCAAAATGTGCTTAATTCTTTTACTGTGGAAAAAGCCTCTGCAGCATAGGACACCCTATGAGGGTCTGGCTGGGACAGTGCAAGCCTAGTCTGTCCCACATGCTGCAGGGATGAAGTTTCTGTAGAGGGATGAGGTTTCTGCTGGCAGGAAATTCCTGCACTAGGTTCCTGCAGGATCAAGGCTGCTGTGGTCTGGAGATTGCCTGGCACTGCCTGTCTGGGAAGGAGCATTTCAGTGCTGCCTGATGTCACCTGTGGGTGTGTAGCAGGTTTTTCCATCCCTAACAGATGTCTGGTTACCTGCTGAGACCTTCTCTGTCTTGCAGGGTCTGACTGCAAGCCATGCTTACGGGAATTCACTGACCACCACAGCCCTGCCTTGGAGTATCCCACCCCCAAAAGCTTCCTCCCATCCCTGATCGCTGAGGATGATTCCTTCTGCACCAGCATGGCTGAAGAGAAGGCAAGTGTCCTCTTTGCTGCTGCTACCACTGTGCAAGGCAGAGGCCAGGGGCAGCAAACTGGGTGGTCAGCACCACATCCAGAGGGGTTTGTGGTGGAGTAGGAATGGGGGAAAGTGGCACTGATCCAGATTGTCAAGGAATACAAGGTTATGTTGCTGTGAGGGACAGCAGGGGAGGGTGACTATTAGAAAGCCACTTGCAGGTCTGGCTCTGCTCTGCACCCCAATTTCTGCACAGGAGGTGTCCCCTTTGCAGGGTAGGTGTGAGACTCTCAGAGGATTTGTGCTGCCTTTGCAGGAGGACTCGTCTTCCACAGAGCTGGATGTGCCAGCAGCAGACTTGCACAGCAGCACGGAGGATCTCCTCTCAGACTCTGCTCTCCAAGGCACAGAGTATTACAAAGATCTGGGACTCCTGAGTCTGCCGTCTGTCAAAACAGCACCAGACACAGCAGCACAGCCAGAACAAGGATCCCAGACTGTGTCTGCCCTTCACTCATTGGAAGAGAGACCAAGGGCTGTGAGCAAACTGTCTGTGGATGTTGCTTTTTCCAATCCCGTTTCCTGCTCGGTACGTTACGGCGAGGCCGACTGTCGTTTTCTGAACAAAGGCCACCTGTGCTCCTGTGCAGCCATGCCAGAGGGTGGTACCAGCACTTCTGAGCATCCTGCAGAGGCAGACAACGAGCTGGACCTGCAGGAGGCCCAGGATTCCTTCCCCACGCTGGTGAGATCGATGTCCACGTCCCGCAGGCACAGCTGGGAGAGCCCTGTGTCACCCGTGGACTGCAGGCGCAGGTACAGAGGGACTGTGAGGGGTATTTGATGTACACGGTGCAGGGAAGGTGGGAGGCTGAGCATCACACTGCCCACAGCTCCAGATGCTGCTGGGTGGTCTCCCTTGCCTGTCAGCATCTGCCAGAACAGCTGGACACCCACTGCTCATGTCGGGGGCAGCAAGAGGCTTTAATGTCTCCTTGGAAGCAGGAAGACCCTCACTTCCTGGTCTTTTCCATGGTGTTGGGGCTGAGAATCTGTTCAAGATTCCCTCCCTCTTTTCTGTCTGGAGGGAATCTTGCACAGCATCAGTTGCCCCGATGACCTCCATCCTCTGGCTCAAAGGGAATTTTTCCCATCAAAGAGGGATTAAGAGAGCTCTGTCAAATCCTTTTTCTTCTTGTCTGTGAGTTGGCTTGGTGGGGCCTTTGCCAGCCCTCTGCCCTCCACGTGGCTGCAGAGGAGGTTGTGTTTGTAGGTTGTGCTGAGCCCTGGCTGGGAGCAGAGGCAGGCCTGGCATCCCTGCCATCCTCTGCTCCTGCCACATGAATGCCTTGAGCTCCAGGTTCCTCCAGGAATGCTTTCCCTGCTGACAAATGTATTGATCTCCCAGCTGACTGGGATTTAGGTGCAAGCCAGCAAGGACTATTTTTATCTCTCCTCCTTATACGGTACCCTAAAATTATCTCAGCCTGAAATCTTGGCAGTCCTTTACCAAGCTCAGACCTTGGTTCTCAGACCCATTGTTGTGCCATGTGCCATGGATCATTCACAGTTTATGCTGTAACAGGCACTGAGTAACGGTGGCACGGAGTGGCTGTCGGTGTCAGGGACACGTTCTGTCTCCTTGCTGGGTGATGGAGCACGTGTGAGCAGGAGGCCAGGGAAGGGGAATACACCCCACTGTTCCCTAAGCAAACATTTCCTGAAGCCTGCCTGTGGTAGCAGAATGAAGTGACAGTGATCTGCAGACAGAGCCCATGCAGAGACTAAGATTTTCCACTGAGCTTTACCCATAATTTTGCTGCTGTGTTGTCACTGCAACAGCACCTGGTGTGCAGGACACTGAGGCACTGGCCCACCCCTCATTTCCTAGAAAATAATTTTTTTCCTTCCACAAATCTGGGCCCTGGTGGGAGCAGGATTTATGGCATGATGCCACATAGTGATGTGATAAACATCATCTGCCACTTCTAAATGCCCAGAGGGACTTTCCTGGATGGCAGCTGACAGGGCAGCAGCTCTGGGGCTGGCAGGACAGGCTGCTGCCAGGGTGGCTGCACAGTCTCAGGGGTTGCTAAGAGATGAGTGTGAGCCATCCAGCACTAAACATCCCGGGTGACCAGGGAGCTGGGGACTCACTGGTGGCAGCCAGAGAAGCTGTTTTTAACAGGCTCAGGACTTGGTGTCCAGGCTGACATTTCCTGCCATTTCCTTTCTCTTTGCCTGCTGTGGGGACCCTCCTTGTCCCAGTTGCAAGAGGTTGTTAGGAGCACCCAGCCAGGGGCATTGCAGAGGCTGTGCCATGCTGGGCACAGTGTGCCAGGTCTGCTCAGGTCTGCTCTGAGGCTTCTTCCTGCCCCCTGATCAGGTTCAGCCTGGATGTGACAGAGCTGGGCAGCGACCCAGAGCAGGACGATGTGGAGAAGAGGAGCCAGTCCTGCCTCCAGCCTCAAGTGTCTCTCCAGCTGCCCAGAGGGGAGCGGGGAGCCTGGAGCAGCAGCCAGGGTGGCACGGTGATCAAAGTGGAGATTGAGCCACTGCACCCAGACCTTGTGGCCACCCCCAGCCTGCAGGAGGTGGTGAGTGTGGTAAGGAGGGCTGGGCACGGGGGCAGCAGGGCAAGCTGAGGGTGCAGAGAAGCAGCACACACAGGTGTCAGCTGCAGGCTGGACTCCTTCAATGCCAGGGTGGAACCAGGAGGTCTCAGCAAGGATGGGCTTTTTCAGATAAACTGCCCCATCTTGTGGGATAAAGGCCCTGGGAGCTGCCTGTAGTACAGCCCTCTTTTCCCATTTATTTAGCTGGAATTTCCCTTCCTTTTTGCCTGCTGCCTCTTGTCCTGTCACTGCAGCTCTAAGAAGAGCCTGGCCCTATCTTCTCTTAATCAGGTAGTTGAAGACAGCAGTGTCACACACCCCCACACACACACACATCCCTTACACATTGCTTTGCTCTGGGGAAGACCTTTAGATTCAGTTAATATTAAAAGGACAATTGGATCATGGTGCTGCATGTCCAGTAAAAGTGAGAAGTGACTAAGAAGGTTTCAGGCATGAGTGTCACTTGCTCCAGCCTTCCTGGAGCCAACAAACAGCTGGGCCTAATGGTCTCCTGCATCATAACTCTGACAAAACAAGAGGAAAAGGGTGAGGAATCAGCTGTGATTGAGGCTCCCTTGGTGCAGAAAGCACAAAAGATTTCTGTGATTTTTACTTCTCCAGAAATGTGTCAGCAACGGGAAGAGACTGAGGTCCAAGTCTGTCCCATCAGCCTGTGACACCATTGCCTCCCCCCAGATATCTCACAGTTTCAACACTTCTCTTCCAGCTGTGGAAGGTTGGTATAGACTTTATGCCATTAAATGGGTTCAAGGTGTGATTAAGAGAGATAAAAAACTGGAGCTGTAGCCTCTGGAAGTGTGGACAGCCTCTGCTTTCCCTTCCACATGGTCCCAGGAGCTCCTGAAATACAAAGCCAAGCTGGTTCTGGGTCTGGCCCTGGCTAACAGCACAGTCTCAGCTCAGACATGCCCATCCCCAGTGACACATTGCCACATAACCTCTCTGTGCTCAGTGCATTGGTCACTCCCTAATCAAGTCCCACCTGTGAGGACTTCCCCAGAGAAAAATGTGGTGATTTCAGAGCCTGGGAAGTGGAGGGGAGGCTGGCTGTCATGGGGAAGGGCTCTGGGGTGGTACCAGCTCCTCCCCTACTGCAAGCAGGACCCTCAGCAGCAAAAATACACACTGGGAAGGGGAGGAGTAACACAGAAAAGTGATCTGGCCTTCACTTCCCTCACAGAAATGTAGAGCAGAATCTCCTTCCCTAACTGCTCCTGGCATTTCCTCCTCACCAATCAAGGCAGAGTGGGAGCCCAGCACAATTAACAGGATCCAGCTGCATAGATTGCAAGGTGGTGCTCTGCAAAGGCAAACCAGGATCCCTGCTGAGAGCATTTTGTGTTCCAGGTGTTGAACCCCCTGCTCTGGAGATGCTGGAGAAGGACCACGTGTCCCCAGACCACGTGTAGGTATTGTCAGTCCTGGCTGGTTTGAGATGAGGGAGATTTTTGAGTGTATTTGAGCTACTGGGGATGCAGCAGCAAAGGAGATCCCTCTCTGTGCTGGGCCACAGCTGAGCAGCTGGTCATAAACCAGCACCTGAGGCTTTGTGGGGTGCAGAATGTCTGTACAAGGATATTTTCTAATCCCTTGCTTTTCTTTTAGGCTAATTGTCCAGAAGGTACTTCAGGAGCTGAAACATTACCATGGGTAAGTGTGTTTGGGACAGAGATGTGTGGGGAGGTCACAAGTGTGACTAAGACACACCTGGAAAAGGATTTGGTCCCTTGAGGGGCAAATACCCAGGATACCAGAATCACTGATTTATTCCAGTGAAACCAGGGTAGAATTGCCTGGAAAAGGGGCATTTTATGTCCCTCCTCAGTAACTCTAAAAATGTTCCTGCCCCATCCAGAAAATAAGAGTTTCAGCTGACCCAGAAGTTCTGCTCTTGTGTTCTTTGCTGTGTCTGATGCCTTTTCCCTGCCCAGGGCGAAGCAGAGAGCTTGTGTGCAAGAAGGCAGCGATTCCTCCCAGCAGAACCTCACTTGGTTCGAGTTCCTGTCTAATGAGTAAGTGAGACAGCGGGTGACACACACTTTGTGTTCTGAGAACAGACTGATTTCGAGTCCTGTCCATCTAAGTTCTACTGCCCTGCTAATCCTGTGTGCAGGACACTGGTATCTGCAGGGGTTCAGCCAGGAGTGTGGTGCTGAACAAAACTGCACACATATCTTGAAAGTTCAGCTCCTTATTTGCAAGTGTCTCATTAATAAGTGACATGGCTGATGCCAAACCAGATCCTCCAGGAGATGGAAAGCTCACCTTGGGGTCCTAAAGTAATGCTTCAATGAACTTCATCAGTGATCTCCCTAAGCTGGGCTTGGTCAGGGAATTTCCCCTTTTTTAAGGTATTTTGGTCTCCTTTCAGAAATGAGGACAGTGGGAAGAGCGATAAAGCAGAGAAAGGCACAAAGGTGATGCGACGTCTGAGTTCCCTGCGGAGCCGAGTCACTGGATCCTGGCAGAAGGATAAGGTGAGAGAGAGAGATGTTGAATTTGTGGAAGGAATTGTTAAATTCTTCAAGGAGAAAAGGGGATCTGACCATATGGAACAGTTAGCTGGATTGCTTTGGGATGGCTGAGGCCTCTATGTTGGCCAGCAGAGGCACTGTGACCCCTAAAGCAGGAGTAGTGCATGGGACTGAGTGATCCCTGAATTCCAGCTCTCCTTGCTCCAGAGCATGTCCTGGATGCTCTTATGCTGCCCTGGCACTGTTGTGCACAGCAAGGAGAGTGCCTTGGCTGGGTGACTGCCTGGATCACTCTTTGTGGCAGGAGGAGCCTGCAGAGGGACAGCCAAGTGTGCCCTGCCCTTCATCACAAATGGACTTAGACTAGAGGGGCTGGCCTGAGCCTTGGGAAGGCATTTGGGAAAAGCACTGCATTCCCACTGTGCCTGCTGCCCACCAGCTCTCTGCTCATTTGTACACTGGGGAAAGGAATGTGTGGGCCTGTGACTGAGCTGTGTTCTTCTCTCCCTCCAGGGTAAGAATAAAGAGCAGCTCAAGGAGAGAGACAAGGAGAAAGAGACGAAGGAGACAAAAGAGAGGTGTAAAGATATCAATGGGCACCAGCTTGTGCCAGGGGTTTTCTCCAGTTGCACCAGCTGCTCACTGTGTGCCAAACCTCTTGGGAATAAAAGTGGTCTGCAGTGCCTGAGTGAGTATGGCTGTCACTGCCTGGCCCTGCCCCAGCCTGCACTCCCTGCCTGCCCTCCAGCCCAGCCTGTGCTCCTGCCTAAACCACCCCTGGATTCCTTCACTTCTCTGCCTGCCTCCACTCTACCCCACCACTCTGCTTGGCCTGGCTTGGTTGTTTCTCCAAATAGTCTAAATAATCTCTGAATCCTGCCTGGCAATAATTTATCCTCATTTTCTTTGGCCACTTGACCGTTTCCTGCCCCTTTCCCTCAAGGAGGGCTCCAGGTCAACTTTCCTTTTACTAATTGTTTTTTTATCATGAAGTTCTGCTTTGCCTGAACAAATATCCCAACTGCCTGAGTGTAGCTGGATATTTCAGGCTGTTTTTCACAGCCTCAGTGATGTCTCAGCTCAGCATCTGCCCTTTGCATGGACACAGGGATTTCTAGAGCATCCAAAATTTTATTAACTAACAAAAAGTCAAATGTTGCCTCCCAGGATGTGCATGGGTGAATGGGTGCTTTTCAGCTCTAAGTAGTGCCAGCATGCATGGGCCTCTGTGCTCCCACTGCATCCACTGAGGCATGGCTTTGGCTGACAAACCCTGTCCTTCCTCTTTGGGGCAGGTACTCAGGGCACTGAAGAATGTTTTAATTCCCAAGGGATTGTCTGTGGGCAGAGAAAATTTTCTGGATATGAAAGGATTGCTCTCTTTCTCCACCCTGTACCCTCAAGCAATGCTTGCTCTCTCAGAGGCTCTTAAGGTCAGTAAAACCTTTCTGGGCCATAAAGGGACTGATTGCCCTCAGACATGTGTGGTGAGAAATATATTTTCCCTTCAGGGCAGCTGGAGGGAAACTGAAAAGGGGCACAGAGCTGGCTATTAGTGAATATTTTTCAGGCATTACAGCAAAAAGTAGGAAGCAGGGAGCTGAATAAGAATTTTGCGGATATTTAGAGAGAACAGAAATGTAATGGGAGGAGGCAGAGTTGTGCCTTGTCATTCCTGTGCGAAGAATCTCCCAGCCAGAGGCTCTGTTTGCAGTCCTGCATGCTGCTTTACAAAAATACCTTAACCTGGGATTATACAGACAGCCCTTGATAACCATGAGCATGGAGCCATGCTCTGTATGGCCTTGGGAACCATAGGGAATGGTTCCTTAACCTGGGAATATACAGACAGCCCTTGTTACCCATGAGTATGGAGCCATGCTCTGTATGGCCTTGGGAACTGTGAGGGCATTTAGTGTGAGTGATTCTCCTCTGGACAACCCTATGGAGATCTGTGACCTGGACTCGGAGCTAGCTGTTGAAACGAGAGTGTGGCTCAGCATGGCTTGTCCATCATAAATACACAGGGACTGTACATGAATTATGGCAACTTTCACCTTGTGTTCCAGCCCTTCCATAAGGAATCTGTGTTCTGTCTTGTGAACGTTCAGGAGAAAAGCTCTGAGGTGGCAGAGGCACTGGTTTGTGTTTGGGACTCTGTGACATTTCCTTTGGCTCTTGGCTGCCCAGGCTGCAGAGCGGCACAGCTTGTTTTGTAATGTTCCCTTTGCAGTGGTTTGAACCGAGGCCGAACAATCGGGCAAAGTTCTGAGATGTCTGTTAAAATTAATGGCCTGTCTGTGGTGAGAGATGGGCTGGGACTTGTGGTGTGACAGCTGATGGCCTGAGAGTGCCTATATTTGGATGACGCTGAGCTGAAACCTTTGCGAGCTGCTGCTGAGCTGGTAGCTGATATCAGCAGCTCCCGTTACTGCAGCTCGGAGCAGTGCGTGGGCTCCTGAGAGTCCCTGACAGAGCTCTGGGACACAAAGCTCCGTGGCCACCGGGAAGCTGGAGCAGCAGCCTACTTTTCAGAAGTGTGAGCAGCTCTGTCAGGCTCAGCCTGAGCCGTGGCTGCTGCCAGGGTGTGAGGGCATTGGCAGCGCCTCTTGCTTTCTCCTCGTGGGCTCACATTTGACCATCCCCGCGCCTTGGCCCCCGGCCAGCCCTCGGCCCATCGCTGGTCAGGTGCTGCTGTTGCTGTTGTTGTCTCCGTGGTATTTTTAACTGCAGCACCACCACGTGGTCCGAGGCAAAACGGGCTCGTGGAAAGCACAGGAAAAGATGGTGCTTACAGCAAGGGATAAACTGGAGGGGGAGGAAGGATGGGAGAATGATTGCAAGCCTGAGATTTTTCACTGTCCAGTAGACACAAAAGGTCTGGTGACTTCCCTGGCTGTGATGAGCTGGGGGAGTGAGAGCTCTTCCTATTAGAGATACCAACAGTAGGAGGAATTCTGCATTTAAGTCAGAACAAAAAACCCTTGTTCTGTTAGAAACGTGTGTGAGCTGTGAAGGAAGTGGGCAGCTCGGATAGCCTGGTACATGGTAACTCATTTCTCTCTCCCACTGATTCCTCCCATCTATCCTCACCCCACACACGCAGAGTCTCCCAGGGGAGAAGGAGGCTGTGCTGTGTGCTGAGAGTATCGATTCAGGAGAGTCTCTCACAGTCTCCCAGGGGAGAAGGAGGCTGTGCTGTGTGCTGAGAGTAGCGATTCAGGAGAGTCTCTCACAGTCTCCCAGGGGAGAAGGAGGCTGTGCTGTGTGTTGAGAGCAGCGATTCAGGAGAGTTTCTGCAGCTCACAGATGTGCAGTTCGGAGCCTGGTAGGGATGAAAACCAAAGAGGAATGATTGCAGTCACAGGGATGTCAACAGCAGTGGCCACCCAAACTCTGCTGTTATGTAAACTACGAGCTGTGAGTCCCGAGGTTTATTGTTCACCTGGAAATGAGAAAGCTCCTCTTGAGCCTTTGCTATCACGGGTGGAGAAGATTCTGTGCTTAAATTAATCCTCTGTTATAAACACGCTTCCAGAGTTTATGCAACAAGAGTTAGACGAGTCCCAGGGAAGCCCTGACAGGAGGAGAGCTCTCCAAGCAGGCTGTGCCATGGAGGAGAGCCAGGGATATGCTGTGGAATACAGATGGAAGGAGGATTACTTCCCTTCAGCTTGAGCACTGGGGGGGAGGTGGGACTTCTACATCTCTAGCTGAGAATCCATCTCTATTACTTATGGGAAAGACAGAGCCCAGGCCCCCACAGAGGTGACAGATTGACCATCCTCTTCTAAGGAAACATAGCTGCGAGCAAACTTTGGCAGGCTTCAGACAAACTCCTCTTCTTTAAGAGAAGGTGCTCAGTTTAATGAATCTTCCTGAACAATACAGGCTGTGCTAGACTGTCCACCTGTCCTAGGCTGACCCTTGCTGGCTGCTTCAGGGCACTGGCTGATCTCTAACTGGTTGCTGTAACAACTGGTGTCCAGGATTTATTTAAGGTGCATTGTGAAAGAGGTTTGGAAAACCATTTCCTTTCTCACAACGAGAAAAGGAGAGGACACAGATTTTTGCAGTTTGTCAGGCAAACATCCTCCACCCATGGCCAAGGAGAGGCCAGAACAGCTTTTGGTTTAGACCTGAAATTTGGAGTGAAATTCACCTTTCACTCGGCACTTGTGCCTGCAGGGTTTTGCTTTTGGATTCCCAATGCAGTAACAATAAGGTGGTACTAATAGGTGAAGGATAGTTTGGGCTTATGGTAAGGAAGAATCACTTGATTTCCTATCCTGAAATTTCTGTTCACAGCCCACACAGAGTCCTGAGAAATCTGAAAAGCAGCAGACAACCTGGAACTCTGCATTTCCGTAGAGTGGCACAGCTGCCAAAAATCTTCTGTTTTGGGGGGAAAAAGGAGGTTTGGCTGCTGTAACACGATGACAGTGATAAATGGACTGGGAGTCCCACTTGGAATAAACTATTACTGACAGAAGTCCAAATAAACAGAGGCAAAACCAGAGCCACTGTGGGTTAAGGTGGTTCTGAGCCAATGGAGCAGGATCTGAAGCAAATGTGAAAGCGGCTGCAGCGCTGTCTGCAGAGGAAACACTGACTGAGCTGAGTGTCCTGACACAGAGCTGGCTCAGCCGGCTCCAGAGGGCTTAGAAAAGGAAACCAAAGTACATCCTCTTCTCAGTGCTTCTCCTTCTCTGCTTTTCACTTTCTTTTTCTTTCTGGGCAGTATTACCTCGATCTGGAACATCTCCAAATGCTGCTCCTTCCATTCCCTGATAAAACCTCAAGATCTTGTATGCTCAGGCTGACAAAAGGACAGTAATCAATCTGAGACACATTCAGCAAGAAATCTTTTGCTATAACAGAATTACACAGGATTAGACAGCTGGTACCCTTCTCTTCTTTGCAATCCAAACCTTAGCTCTAAGCTACAGAGTCTTGGAGCTGGCTGCTGTGCCAGATTTTGCACTGATTTTGTGGCGATGCCCTGAGGCTGCACAAGCACAGCACGTTCTCTCCATGACAGCTGCAGTTGGGCAATCTGCAATGCTTTACTTTTATATTACAGCAAAGCACGAAGTTTGAAGTGCCCAAGGATTAATCAGTCACCAAGTGACAGCCAGCTGTTTACTCCCAAACTGCTTTGTGTAATGATCATTTCTCTGTAGTGGTGACAGGCCCCAATAAACAATTGGGACTGCAGTGTGCTCAGTCCTGTAGAGAAGCAGCACAAAAGGGAACATTTTGGAAAAGCTTGAAACTATGAGATGAAGATAAAAATAAAATCGATTAAACAGGTGCCAAGGTGGGAACCAGAGATCACACTGGCCCCATGGCAGGATTTCATCACATCTCCAGCCCAAAAAGTGGCAGGTTCTTTCAAAGCAGTATGGGGAAAGCTGCAGGGTGGATTTTGGGAGGGAAGTTTGTTTTGTAATCGTGTATATTGTGTTTTCAAGCTCAACAGGCAAGTGGGATATGTGTGATTTAAAATATGACAAACTTTCAATCAGTACTGTAAATCCTCAGAGTGAAATTGGGAGGGGAGGTTGTGTGAGCTCTTCCCAGTTTTCCTGCCTGCACTGAGTACTCCAGCAGCCCCATGCTAGTACATCAAACCTTATTGGTGTCAGGGAAAAGGTGTTTTTTCTAGCAAGCAGTTTCGTTCTATGA